GTTTGTAGCCTTAAGGGTTCCCCATCATGCCCAAACAGCAAACTTAAAACATGTATGTTAATAAACCCACAAGGATCGGTCCACACACTATTGGCCCACCCTGTATGTGGTAACTTATTTAACATGCACAGTACTAAGATCTTGAACTCATTTCAAGTTACAATGTTAGTTAAATGGGAAAAAAATTTGCCTCTGCCGGTACAGAATTAAGTTTTGCCTACTACAGGAGTGGATCTCAAAGTAAGCTAATCGTTGAATGCAGATACTCTTGCAGGCGCTGTCTTGAAATTCTATGAGAAGATTTGGTATGATGCAAATGAAAATCAAGGACGATAAAAAGAGGAATTTTGCCCTTGAATTACTGTGTTCCTCAAATTGAATCTTCGTTCAATAGAATGGGCCAACAGGTACAGTATGTATTAAGGATATTGTTCACATAGTATGATATGATATTAGTAACGTTAATAGATAACAGTAACATAAGTCTTTGCTCTGCGACCAAATGTCGAGCTGATGACTGTCTTGGCGCGTGTAAATCTCTTAGTTTTAAAAATGTGAAGCTGGTACATATCTAATGGAAATGAAACGACTTAAAGTATGCTATGACATGATGATGACAGCTCAAGGAAACAGCTAAAACAAATTTTAAAAAACACTGTCCTTGAAACGAGTTTGTGTTGTTTCCCATAAACAAGTGGTGCTTCGTAATGTGTGCCATAAAGATAAGGTATGTGTAAAAGGGTTATCTGGTAACTAAAGAGTCAGGGTCACTTAAAGGTGTGTTTGTTTGCAGAAGCTTTAACATCGCAAATTATCAACGGCGTGTTTTGCCAGTATAGATTAATGGTTAATCTAAAGTCTTCCAGGACAATGACTTACGCCATATCCATAGCTTTCTGTGGTTGGGCCTCTTCTACTGCACTGCTAATATACTAAGAGACATCACCAAATGGAGATTATTACATTAGGTGAAACCGAGGGTGAAACAATTTTTAATCAATTACTGATGAAAGAGATACCAGAAGCATAGCGTCGAATATTTAACCTCTTATTTAACAAAACATATGCACTAAGCTAATAGCTTAAGAGATGTATTCAAAATTTTATCAGCAGATAATTGTGTAGGATTAATGTTTGCCTATCATTAATAAATTATGGAATGTACTTAATTAACGCTTACATTGATACACCCAGCATATTTGATTTAAAACGCAGATAATTTAAGTGACAAATCCGCCAAAATTAATAATCCGAGACATGTGCCACCATTTAATACAATTTCATACAGTCGTAAGCATAGGAAAATCACTGTCCAGGAAGTAGAGATAAATAAAGTAATCGTCAAGTAAGACTATTTTTTAATTATAGGGGCTGTTCGGAGTGACAAATTGATTCAATCATGTGGTTAAAAACAACGAGAGGAATTTGTGTGAATGCAATTAAGTAATCCTATCGTCGTAACCATAACTTCCTCAAGTGTCTTAACTTTTGTTTCCTCTTTGGATTCTAGTAATTGACAGGAGTTTGTTACATTTAAATTAAGACTAAAGTCAAATGTTAATGTAGCTATTTGATTTTGGCAATGCTTTCACATTATGTTTATAAGCATAGTGTAAGTAAAGTAATAATTACAGAAGATTTGATATTTCTTTTACAATGAAATAAATTCGGTTCTAGAAAAATACATGGTGGTACTCCGTCTCGTACTCCGTCAAGCGTGCCATAGCTAATTAGATAAGTAGACATCCGAGAAACGCACAAAGAAGTAACAGTTGACTGAATTTTCAATAAGGAACAATGTAATTTTGTGCATATTCGACCGTAGATATACAGGGTGTTTCGAAATTCGCGCACACGGACTATGGGATGGTGTTATACGACAAAAACTGAACAAACAGTTCCTCTACCAGTTTTCCATCAGACCGCTATTTTTCGAGCTACCGCGGTTTTAAAAATCTCCGCCCCCCCCCCTACGCTGCGCCACTGGTTAAACTTAATAATAACACATTTTTAAAAACAAAAGAAGGTTCAAAATAAACTTTAATTATGACGAGTACGTAATTACAACAGTTGTTCAAAATGTACGCCATCTGCTAGTAAACAAGTTTCAGCACGTCGGAAAAAAAAAGTTCAGGTCTGATCAAAAACTGGTAGAGGAACTTTTTATTCAGTTTTCGTTGTATAACACCATCCCACAGTCCGTGTGCTCGAATTTCTAAACACCCTGTATTAAGTCCTGCAAAAAATACCTACATAAAATTTTTGCGAACTGGCATCACTGTTAATAGTGCAACTGCCAAACGACACAATATTTTTACACGTTCTTTATTGAATTGTCATTTTAATTTTAGTTTCTTTTTGTAAATTTAGTCAGTAATTGTTTAATTCATTTAATTCTGTTTCTTATTTTGAGTTTGTATGATAAATTTGAAATGCATAAATAAGGGAACATGAAAGGCCTATTTATGCTCACTAATAATAAATAATTAAAATAAATAATAAGTAATAATAACTACTTATTTTAACTTAAGAGTCTTATTACTGTATATTACGATATGATTACGATGCACAAAGGTATGTTTGTACAGGAATGACATCTGTCAAGAGTAGTATAAATGGTGGAAAAAGATAAGTACTATTACTTATTACTTACTTAATTCTTATTACTTACACTCCGAGCAGTCATACATTTAATTGTTTTTTGTCCTCAAGCCAGGAATATTAAAAATGATTTTTTTTTAAGAAGAATCTGTCAAATTCGTGTTAAAAGTAAATATTTTGTCGAGCATCGCATATTTTTGTCCCCGGCAGTTTATTTAGATTATTATGAACAGAACTGTGAGTACTTTTTCAGATCTCTTAAATTGTTTTCAGATCGACCGACAAATGGGGTGTACAATATTCAAAAGGCACTGTTAGCTTGAAATTTTTTTTACAGGATTCTCTGTTTTTGATTATGATGTGTGTTAGAATATTTTCTAATTTATGTTCATCAATTAATTAGGTGTCAATTTGAAATCCAGATGGAATTTTATTTTCCTGTGGCAGATTTTTCTGTCTGTTAATCCGAATGTTATTTCAAGTTAAAAATTTGAGTATCTAGTGCTTTCAATGGAATTTACAGAATTTGGTTGTGATCCTCAACTCTGTAGGATTTGTAAGTTAATGTTAGGATTTTATTGTTGTGTCGGAACCCAGTTGTGCCCTGAGAAAATTTTAAAAATAAAAAAACTAAATTGTACAATTTGCGCTACCTATGTAGGTGTCTGTTGGGTGGTATAGTGACCACATACCAATGCACAGGGCAAGATTCGCTCATTTGGACATTTTCATGAAAAAGTTAACCATGATAGTGTAGCCTCCATCAACAGTGGATTTTGAAACAAAAAGTGGGCGACTTTTTAAGAGAAGAAATCTTTTTCGAAATTCACCTTCTCAATGAATCTTATTTTATTACAAAATAGAAAAGTACACCTGCAGCAAATATCTAATTTGTGACACTTGATCACTTTCTGGCATTCTTTTGTTTTTTATTATCACAGCCTACTCCTGTGTGTAATTAATCAATGGGTTGGTACTTTTGTAAAAAATATTGAATAACCTAAAAAGTACGAGGTTTTAGCACAGATTAATCAAATGTATTTCTTAACTTCAAAGTCAAGGTTTTTCATAAAAGTGAGGCTTGCTTATGGGGAATTATTCGGAAAAAATTAATAAGATTGCAACGTTGAGAAAAAACAAAAAGTGAATAGGTTTCCATGGAGAGGTTAACAAATGACATCGAAACAAGTCGAAATATACAGGATGTTCTATTTAAAAAATCAATTATTTAGTGACACCGTAAAAATGAGACACCCTGTACATTCATAAATAATCTCTGTAGATGCGCAACCATCCGTAGTTTTCTAAGAAACATTCGCTTTGACAACAAACTCACAAGGACAGACAGGCAAAAGTTTAACAAATTAGCTGCCATTAAGAGATTTTTTTGGCGAATTCAGTATATAATGTCTTCGTATACAACAATTGAAGAAGTGAGAGGATGATGCAATTTCAAGGTCTACATACCACGAAAACCCAACCGGTATGGCTTCATATTCACTGATAGATGCCAAAATGTTCTATACATCGAAGCAATCAAAGTTAGAAATTTATGTGGGTCAAAATCAACAGCCATCAGGACCGAAATCAGGACAATATAGAGTGGACACATCTAATATGGCTGATGTCCCAAGATTAAGTCAACCTATCGGCAGTACCAAAGGGATATTCCCTTGGATGATTTCTTAAATTAAATGATAACTATTCCTACACTGAGTCCTACACAGTTGAAGATGGACATATGCTACATTTTTCCCAATGAATTGATAATGATATACCGACAAATAATATCTGAATGCAGCAAGATGGCGCACCCCCTCCCCCTCATTTCAGTAAGAAATGACTAAAAAGAAAGTTTTCCAGATGGAATCGGATGGATTGGTATACGATTTAATTTATCTCGATTTCTTTCTATGAGGTTTTTGATACTTCTTTGATTGAATCAAGTATATTTGTCTTGAAAATAGGAAATTTCACCCGAACCTAAATTTCTCTCATATCTTTTACAAAACCTAAATAGTAAAATGGTACCTACAACATAGTTATAACCGAGGCTATAACCGAAAGAGACACGACTGTAAGCTGTCTAGTCAATTCGGAAAAACATTTTTTTTTGTGTAGTTAATGAAATGGTTAGGAAATTATGGTCTAGAACTGACATTGTGAGTACTTCACTTGAGGGTTAACCAGTCAGAGGTTTTCAACTGTTATTTTTTATCAAAGCTGTCTTTTATGCTAGAATGGTACAGCAACTAACCACAAGAAAAATTTGCTCTTGATGTATTTTGCATGATATGTTCTCCCGTATGTTGTATAATCATAATTATATGATACCTTTTCATTAAGCAACCACAAAAGACAGACTTACATTTACTAATATAAAATATTTAAAAAATTACCTTCAGAAGTCGAAGTTGTTCCAATGTTAGATCCTTCAGTGGTAACTCTAACATGTCACTGTCCTCTAACTGTTTTTTTCTTTTCATAGCAATACATACATGAAAATCGTGATAAATAATCGGCACCAAATCCTTACTGAGTTGTACATCGAACTCAACAAAATCGGCACCATGTTCAATTGCAACCTTCAAACTTGCCAAGGTATTCTCTCGGACCTCCGCGCAGTTCTTTGGTTCAATCTTGAAACTAGACCCCGACCCTCGGTGACCCACATCCAGTCCACACCATGAATTTTTCCAATGTCTTGTGTAGGATACTTCCATATCGCATTTAAAATTCATGCCGGGTCGTACGACTAGGTACTCTAGTTCAATCTGTCCCAAAGGACGATGCTTTGTGCTTGTGACGGGCAACACAGAACTTCCGACAGAAGATTGTAATGCGCTAGGTAGTAAGTAACTAAAACCAGCATGATAGGGCGGTTCATTATCGCCCGCTCGTGAACTGAATACGTAAATATCAATAAGAAATGCAACATTGTGAGGAAATAATACAGTCGATTGAAAAATTAAGCCGTCCCCACCCTTAAATTCTTTCCCGAACTGCTCTTGGGGCTGGAAGCGATCGTCACCTTTGGAAAGGCTTGCAACTTCAGTGAATGCGTACCGAGGGCGCTCTAAAGAGTCATTGTCTGTGCTCACCGATTCTTCCAGAGCTTCGGCCATACTTGTTGGGGAGTTGAGGCTGTAACGTGTCAAATTCACAGGCGTGATTTTAATGAAAACCGGTCGATTAACATAACGAGGTCTCCACAGTGAAGGGGGGTTAAAAATTTTAAACTGCACAACGGTTTCTTTGGTGATCCACCCTCGATCCGATCTGCACATATTATTGTAATCTCCATAGGAACAAGGCTCGTCGCTGTTCATGGGTGACAACCCCCGACTTTCGATTATTCTCGCATCTAAGTTTGCTTCCCAATTTCGAACGATCACTTGCAATCCACTTTCGATAACAACGCAGATACAATATCGGTAATAGACCTTCTGCTTGTCCGGAACGCTGATAACTTTCGACCAAACTTCCGACTCCTCTTCTTGATCCAAGGCAATACACCGATTCGGATCCCACCCGCCCAAATTTTTTACGTTGCCCGTAACGCATACAGTTTCGCCACTTTTTAAATCGGGCACTCGAACGCGAAAAAGCCATGGCCTGTATTTTACGGCCTCTTGGTCCCTTTGAAGCTGCTCTAGCTCGTCCTCAGTCAGGACGCGTCTTTTCTCTGCATTTTCGGGATCCTCTAAGAAGAACCACCGCTGCATTTTGGCAGATGTGGTCATCTGAAAAATACCACGATCGAATAATTGCGATTTGACGTGTGTAAATATGACAATGTCAAAGAAGATATTTACCTTTCTCATTCTCAAGACAGGGAAAATTGGAAATGTGAAAATGCAAATATTCACGGTAATGTAATTTTTTTTTCGATATAGAAATCATGCAAGCCCTTTGTGCAAGCATTTCTTCATGATGGTATTTAAACATTTTAATGCGTGGTCACTTTTTTAAGCAAAGAAAATTAAAGCAAAATCGTTATGTGGAAGGAAATAAATGAACACGCATATAGGTATTTTTTTGACCCTTTTGTGTTTGGCCTCACCAACAAGAAATTTGCACACCAAAAAACAGCACTACATACAAAAAATCGCGTTAAACACAAGTCTACAATTCATGTGGAAAATTGTCGATCGATTCAAATCACACCACTTATATGTAACTTCTTGCCATGCAATGCACTGCGACTGCACTTGCAAGACCACGCATGCTTTACCTTTCACTGTCTATCACAGTCTAACCCTCAACTGATGAATGTTTACTACCGTGAGGTTTGTGACTGTGATGCGATTATACCACTTCTACTATTCCATTGCTTAGCGCCAACGTCGTGTTTTGATGATGTCGTTTTCTACTCCGTGTAATAAACGAGGACACCATGAGCAAACATATACGCAGCTCTAGAAGGAGCGTCAATTATGCCATGTTGCCAAATGTTCTCTATTAATTAGGACAAGGCAGGTAACAGTTGGCTCTAACCAGGGGCGGACTGGCCCGGGGAGGCGGGTGGCGATTGCCACCTGGCCTGTAGGACATAATGGCCCGTTGGAAATTTATAAGTATGTGCTGTATTTAGTTTCTTGCACTATTAATAAATTATTAACACGTTTCTCTAATTGGGATTGATGTTAGGTTGTTCATTAAAAAATTCTGTTTTTATTTAAGTGTTTTACAATGAATTTATCATTTTTTGTCGTACCATGAAAGTGCTGAAACACAATTATAGGCGACGCGCCTCGTTTGGATTGTATATTTTGTTACTTTTAATTATCACCTGCAATTAAAAAAAAACTGTGTTGTAATTGATTTTCGAGAAAGGAATACTTTTAAAATGAAGCAAAAAATGTTTTTGTGGTGCACCGCAGAGCTTCCCCCACCCCCCACCCCCCGGCAACCTTCATTATTACAGTAATACTTTAATGGCCCGTAACCTATGCAATTCCACCTGGCCCGTAAGTACCCAGTCCGCCCCTGGCTCTAACGCTAACCGCACATTTCCAAAAATTTAGAAAAGGTTGCCAAAAATCTTTATTTATGCTCCCATTCCTCGGGATATAACATAATGTCTAGCCAAAAAAAACTTGACTCATAAGTCTTGGTCGTTAATTTACAACAAAGATCATACCATTGTTTATAAATGAATATAAACAATGATCATGCAATGCGATCAAAAAAGAGTGGCTTTCAAGTCACCTTTGGAATTTTTATTTACATGGGAAATCGTATTTAATGAACTTCCAAAGGCAACTCGACGTCAATCCTTTTTTTGCTAGAAGATAGGTATACAGGGTGGTGACTTGCGTAACGCATCATAGGAATTTCAATGTAAAATTCATAACATGTGATTATTGGCTCCCCAAATTATTTTAGAGCAGAAATGTATTAAAGTTTTTTTGTAGAAAAAATTTTTTTACGCCAATCAACCGTATTAGTTTTCAATTTTTTTCGTATAAAGACGGAAAATTGGAAAAATAAAACCCGCATCTTTTTCAATAATATGCGATGGAATTTTCTAAAACAAAAAGATATCCAGTTATCAATTAGCAGCAGTTCGAAATGGATTTTATGATCGACTTGGTTACTGCCTTGCAGTTAATGGTGACTTATTCGAACATTTATTGTAAATCGTTATAGTAGGAAACCGTTTTTAGTAATTTGGTATTTCTTTATGTTGAATTCGCTGTTCTAAATATAATACTTTTTCATAGAATTTGATTTGTTTTTAGCAGACATTTCATGGTATGACGGATATTAATGGCGTAGTTTTTATATTATAAAATTCCATGGCATCACAAATTATTGAAAAAGATGGGGGTTTTATTTTTCCAATTTTCCGTCTTTATTATGCAAAAAATTGAAAACTAATACGATTGATTGACGTAAAAAAATTTTCTACAAAAAACCTTAATACATTTTTGCTCTAAAATAATTTGGGGAGCCAATAATCGCATGTTCAGCACAAGCTGAAGAGGCCTCAAAAAAAGGGCTAAAAAAATAAAATAAATAGTTGTAGGAAAATATTTAGACAAATTATAATGCGGCAAAATTATCAATTATGATGGATTGATTTGGCATCGAGGATTGAGGAACAACGGGGCCAATTGATTTTATGTGCATATATGAGAATACATCAGGCATTAAAATTAAAGCACGTTGCACATGAGAGCAACACCCGCGTTATCAGAAAAATGCGGCTCCCCATTTTTTGCAATAGCAAGCAGAGATGCCATGGTGCCAGAACCAACCGACATATAAATACAGCCTTCATTCTAGGCGCCAACAAAACAAAAAAAAGATTCCTCCTGTTCATATAATAACTGATTTAAAAACTCTTAAGCACGATTGTAGGGCGTTGTGCGCGGGTGCACCATTCTGTTGAAACCAACAGTCCAACTTTTGTGTTGTTGTGTGCACTTGTGCAGTGTGCTGTGTATCGTTGTATTCGTAATAAAGGATGTTACTCAATACAGTGTGTACTTTTTTTACGGGCCATATAAAAAAATAAAGTTGATGAATGATAATGATTTTTCCGAATGAGAAAAAGGTTTTTATTTTTTGTGTCTGTTTAAATGGAATCAAAAAAATAAAAATAAAAACGGAATCGGCAAGTTTTTCTGGCATCTTCGAAAGTGGAAGGTTGAATATGTTTGAACTTTGGAGTTCAGTTTAACATTAAACGATTCGTCTATTTGTGGGGCTGTAATGTTTGCAATACTTCATATGTTTTTGTGTGCTTGTTTGACTTTGTTTGCAAGGCCCACAAGCTGTACCCTTTAAATGCATATAAAAGTATAGCCCTTTTCCATTTAAAAATAATAAAAGGTTCATAACAATTCGTTTATTGCATGTACTTATACTGAAGTTTTTGTGGTACTTTAAACATTTTTGCGTATTTTTTACGACATCCAGAAAAAAAGTATACTCGCTCCATGTGGTAATTATATAATATAGTTTTCTATAATAAAAACATAGTTTTACATAATGATCGTAAATTTTCTGTATGCATTGGGAGAAACAGTTAAGAGTAAGAAAGAAGTACCGCACACTTTTGGATCTATTCAAGCTCTTTCCACAGATTTCTATTTTTTTCATAGCAATTTAGGTCACTTTCTGAGAACGCTACACTGTGGGGAGGCCAGATAAAGTACACGTGGTAGAAAACACCTGCAAAATTCTAAAGCTATTGCTTTTTGCGCCGGAGTCCGGGGCCTTCTTAAAGTGAAAAGGAAAAAAAAGGAACTCGCACATCAAATCCAAAGTATATTTCAGTAGGTACTCGATAATTGGCAACGTTTTCGGTCTTTTCCCGAGCTAGGCGAACCTGGAAATGGACAAAAAAACTGTGAAACGCTTTACATTACAATAATGGAAAGCACCTATAATATTCTGGATAAAGTTTAGAAGACGCTTCAGAGCTTTATTAATGTATTGCGCTAGTCTTGTCTAAAGGTGGTATAGTCGCTTAGGAAGGAATGAGATCTAGTGTATAGGTTTGGGTCTGTTTTTTAGTGTAACAAATTTCTAGGAGTTGATTGAACAATTTTTGTATGGGATATGCGTTCTGCGGGCCTGAATAATTTAAAAATCTTTGAGAATAAACTAAAGAGCTGTCGGAGAGACATGCGGTTAAAGGTTTTCGAGACGTTCCCAGAACTTTTTAGCTGATCCTTTAACCAAAACGTATAAAGGCCTGATAGGCGACTCTGATAAGTGCCTGTAAAACTAATAGAAACTTTGAGGACTGGTTGGACGTATGCTTGCCAAGGTTTTTGATGTACCGATGTGGACGAAGTCAAATTCTCCACACTTAGGCAGGGGGGCCCGTTAATTATAGGTACCTATGTACCTTGGCAAACACAGGACCGTATATCATTAATTCATTATACATCGCTACCGCTCTTCTACTCTCCTCCTACATCACTCCGGAGGCCCGTTTTTGATTATATTTATAAAATTAATAAGTACCTATACCTACCTTTTATATTGAATTTCGTTATTCAATGCCTAATATTAACTAATTTGTTATGAGGGTATTTTAGGGTCAAACTACCTATTACCATGGTATACAGGGTGGTGACTTGCGTAACGTATCACAGGGATTTCAATGTAAAATTTATAAAATGCGATTATTGGCTCCCCAAATTATTTTAGAACAACACTGTATTAAAGTTTTTTGTAGGAACAAATTGTTTACGCCAATCAACCGTATTAGTTTTCAATTTTTTTCATATAAAGACGGAAAATTGGTAAAATAAAACCCGCATCTTTTTCAATAATCTGCGGTGCCATGGAATTTTATAATACAAATAGTACGCCAATATCCGTCATGCCATGGAATGTCTGCTATGAAACAAATCAAATTCTATCAAAAAGTATTATACTTAGAACAGCGAATTCAACATAAAGAAAGACCAAATTACTAAAAACGATTTCCTAATATAACAATTTACAATAAATTTTCGAATAAGTCACCATGAACTGCAAGACAGTAGTCGATCATAAAATCCATTTCGAACTGCTGTTAATTGATAAATGGATATCTTTTTGTTTTAGAAAATTCCATGGCATCGCAAATTATTGAAAAAGATGCGGGTTTTATTTTTCCAACTTTCCGTCTTTATATGGAAAAAATTGAAAACTAATACGGTTGATTGGTGTAAAAAATTTTTTTCTACAAAAAACCTTAATAGGTACATTTTTGCTCTAAAGTAATTTGGGGAGCCAATAATCGCATGTTATGAATTTTACATTGAAATCCCTGTGATGCGTTACGCAAGTCACCACCCTGTATACATATTCTATCAATGCTATTACTTAGTCTCATTCTCATTACCTATGTAGAAAAAAGTAAGGCCATGAAGGTTATTTTAACATTTTTCGTTCGGGGCCAGCCTAAAAATACGTACATATATATGTCCGTACTACCGAAGCTCAGAGGATCCTTAAAATATTTGCATTAAAACCAGTGCAAGGAAAATTGGTTTAGTGTGGTGTGGACCCCCACCCCATCCTCCCTCCTCACGCATTTTCACATTTGGCCACCCCTTGAAATTGTTTACAATAACACACATAAGGATGCCCAAAGTTTTAATACCCATCTCCTGAGCATTGTAATTCACATATGTGACAAATGCGCTACAATAATGGCCGAATGGGTTCAAATTGTGATAGAAATAATTATCTTGCAGTAATTCAAAAACGTTACGGATTTTCATTACTTGACATTTCCCCGTTTTGGCTTTGTTGGTTGACCTGTTGTGCATAGACGTACTGTACTGTTCTTGTATAAATAAAATCAACCACGACTGCGCTACTTACAAAACAATTGTGGCGCCACTGCATAGATTACAAAGGATCCAGATTTTCAATTTACGTCGCAGTAGGTATTCGTATTTCTGGGTCAAATTTACACGTTGCATCGCATCCTTCGATTAACCTTGCGCACGAGGAAATTCTCTCATCTGTTAGTAGTTACCACATGATGCTAATGGCAGTATGTGTGGCACACAATTTAATTTTAACTTGGACTTCAGATTGTAAACAACGCTTATATAACGGGCAGACCACCAGACGTTAAGGAACCAAGTCACATGTACTACGTTCAAAGTTCATGCGCTATTATCATTATTAAAATACCTATAATGGAATTCTCTCCATATATAAACATAATAGTAGATCCCCATTGGGTCTATATACGATAAACCTCTCCCCGTGACGTAGTCATATCTGGTTGACGCAAGGAATTTCTGCAATTCTGTAAACTGAAAACTAATCAAAAAGGCAAACATCCCTTTTTGTAATACACTACTGCTACTACAACATTCAATCTGCGCAAAATAGCAAATGTGAAAAATAATTTTGTAATTAATAAATTCTATTCCAGAATCTACTGCAACTTTTTCAATAATTATTAAAAAAATAACTCCATATATTTACATTTTTTTCACAAATAGAGTGAAGGAAAACAATGGTAGAATGTTTAACAAAAAATACACAAAAATAGCAGACAATATCATGCTCAAGAGTCTACAAATTTATGTAATCAAAGTACAAATATCTCCCATTACTATCAATTTCATATTATTTAACAACCATATGTACAAAAAAAAATAAATTAAGATTCTATATTTACAATAACAACCTGGGAAACTCAATCACAACAGTGTAACAATGGGAAATGGTCTGCATATAGTAAGAAAAATGTCATTATTATTAAACTTGCTCCATGAGTACTTAAATGAAGAGCGATCATTTTTTACATATATACATATTTACCTATTTAAAGTAAAAAATTGTTAAAATAGATTTTATAATTGCACGTTTTTTAAAACAAAACGATTAAACGCAATAGTTTATAATAATTATCACATATCACATTGTATTAGTAGAAGTGGGCACCTCCTTTAATTGTTCGGGTGATAAAACTGGCAGTTTTCTCTATTTTTACAGAAGCCTTTGTTTCTGTAATGATGACAAATACGCCCACCTCCCCTGTTGCCTCTTCCATTATTCCAATTGTTTGGAGGAGGGCCATTCATCCGAAGCCACGGGCCATCTCCGCCTCTGCCACCTCTTCGAAAACCACCATGACCGCCTCTGTTAGAGTTGAAGTTATTTGGTGGAAACATTCCTTGGCCCTGCTGATTGAAAGGAGGCTGAAACCGGTGCTCGTTTTCATTAATCATGGGATTAAAGTTTTCTTGAGGAGGGATAAAGATGTTGGGGTTGATCTGTGCTTGATTCATTATTTCGGGGGGCATATTCCTTCCGATCATTTGCGGATTGTGCATGTTGGGCATGTTCCACTCTACCCCGCCCACCGGCATATTCTGTTGCAAGAATGGGGGACGTTGAAAGGGCTGTACGTTCGCAATATTTTGCATATTTTGAAAGTTGGCGGGCGCCGCCATGGGGAAATTTTGAAAAGGGGCCTGCACCGCCGGAAACATCTGCGGCAAATTATTTGGAATGGCCGGGAGAGGTGGGGAACCTTTCGGTTCGGGCCAAGGTGTCTCCCGGAAATCGCGATCGGGGTTGTCGGCTGCCTCAATGGGTATAATAACGGGGTCTTTAACTTGATGATTCTCAATGTCGGGTTCACCAGGGGACTCTGGTAACATTTTTTTATTAAAATACAATGATTGCAGTACACTTTTTTCACGAGCAAATTGAATGTCTTTTTCCGAACTTTTACAGCCCGGCTCCGCTAAGTGATCGGGTAAATCCACTTCGTAGGGAATTTTCCAAACGGTCTGAACGTCCATGACGTCCTCGTTTGGGAGTTTTCGCGATAACTGTAGAGCTTCGCGTTCGCTCCGGAGGTCCATTTTTGCCATGTCACCAAATGTTTTCGTTACATTTACGCGTTCGGTCTCGTCTAACTCAAAGTACTGTATGTCAACCAATTCTGTATCTGGCTTCCATTTGATCGACTTCTTCGGCCCTTTTCGCCGAACATACACCAACACCCCTTTCAGGCCATTGTGTGTTTTGGTTATTGGCTCGTCTTCTTGATCCTCCATGGCAGTATTATCGACGGGAGTAGGAACTCTGGCACTGTCAGTAACAGTAGAAATTTCGGGCGACGCACTTTCGTTTGCGCCAGTTGCCCCTTTTTCGGCCGTTTCCGTTTTGCGCTCTTCAGTTTCCAAAGTGTCTTGATAAAATTTGGGAGGGGAAAGATTTTTAAGCCCGATATTGGGAGGTGCACCATTTTGAGTTGTTGGGGAGTGGGGGGGTGACGTTCCACTTGAATCTTTTGAGACACTCGCGCGCCTCTTTCGTTTTTTGGGCTCTTTCTTTGTAGTAGCCGACGCCGTTAACGCGTCCATAAACATATCGCTTTCTTGCAGAACAGGCGCTGAAACAAAAATAAAATTAGTCATCCAACTATATTTATGTGAAACAAATTGAGTATCATATCAGTTTGGGCTTGGAATATTTGCACAAAAATGCATTTGGAATTGAAAGAGGCTTCTCAAATGCCTACTATTATAAATATATTAAAATCCTCAAAGATCTAAGAGCAGATAATAGCGTATATCAGTTCAAACTTGGAAATACCATTCAAGGTCATCAAAACTACATTGCTACTAATCCAGATGAAAAGTAAACAAAGGTAATTGTATGGTAAATTAATTTTCAAAAATCGCCTTGTAGAATCAAAGCCTATGAGGCTTAAAAGTGTATACAACTTATTATCACGCGGCGACTTAATAATTCCAATATAAGAATCGCCTATATTTATGAAAACTTTTTAGAATATTTTGCAACTTAAATTCATAAATGATAGTAAAAGCTGCTGCTATCCGCAAAAAGTAGGCGTTGCGTCGCAAAGACGTAACGTAATTTGCTCCAACCGCAGCAGATGTCATACGTGACGTCACAGACGCTCAGATACCAGTGACCACCAAACCGTGGAGCTTGTATGCTTTCGCATTTTCACAAACGGCAAGGTGAATGGAAAGTGCGAATCCAAACTAACACATGTATTAATTAAAACTACTTGTAAGGCTTATAACTGAGAAATTGTGAAAGATAACTTTCAAACCTTTAGTTAAACCTGCAAATTACATGTGCCGACAAACATGTGTAGTAGTTGGAACTTAATTTATTTATTGTAAAAATGAAAATACAATTGAATTTACATTTTTAACTTACCAAGTTGCCACTTTAGAGTCTCTTATCAAAATCTTTAATTCTGATTTTTATTAAATGAAATAACACTAGGCTACCTATGATCTTCTTGCTCCTCTCTTGCATTAATTTTCTTCTCAAACGCAAACACACATATGTCGGCTGCAAAATGTCTGTTGACTTTTTAACATTTTAAACATTGTTTCACTATGTACAAATCACCCTACCAATTCCAAATACATCATAAATACACTAAGAAGTTGGTCAAAAACTAAAGATATTATATTAAAGAAATGACCAACCTCTCAGGGGGAAATATACTACACAAATAGCGTACGGTGAATCCTTTAGAAATGTGCAAAAACATCCAGCCACAAAACCAGGAGGATACTCGACAAAGATCTGCAAATAAAAAAATTGTTAATATTAACAATCTTAAAAACTCACGTTTGGGTTTTGGTGGTATTAATTTAATAGCACCAGGCCTTTCAAGGGGCGGTTCCACTTTTGGTTTCTTTTCGGGAGGTACGGCGGAAATATCACGAATGGGCGATGGCCTCTTCAATGTGGGAATTACTGGTGGTGGTATCACAGTAGGAACGGAAGGTTTCTTGGTAGTCCTCGGTGGAGCAGGCTTTGCTTCTTCTTCCAGACCCGTTGAGCGCATCTTTGATTTGTAGACCTTTACAGTTTTCGGCCTTTCCTCATTGGTCTTGCGTACCTCTACTGACATGGTTCCTCTTTTTGGATCATCTTTTTTGCTTTCTTTAGATTTATCTTTATCATCGGACACTTTTTTAGGAATTTTTGGCAACTTTTGTACATTTTGAGGTTGTATTTTGCTTAGAGTATCTTTATCTTTTTCAGTCTGCTTTTCTTTGTTCTCTCTCTTCTCCTTCTCCCTATCTTTACTACTACTACTACTATTGCTAGAGCTTTTGCTACTGCTATTACTAACAGAGCCGTTGCTCCGATGCCTATTTTTACTTTTATCATCTTTATGCTTGTCCCTACTCTTAAGTTTATCTTTATCTTTACTACTACTAGAACTACTAGGCCTACTTTTATCCCTATGAGAACTTTTTGATTTCTCCCTACTATTAGAACTACTGCTGCTTTTGGAACTCGAACTGGACTTATGTCGGCTTTTATCGTGAGGCTTTTTCTTCTCGTCCTTCTTTTCTTTAACATCATCGTCATCCTTCATTTCAACCACTTCTACATTCTCCAAAACTTGAAAGTTGCTATCATTAGATCCAACCTTCGAAATAAGATGTTTTCCATCTTTAAGCGTCAACTTATAAAACGTCTGAGGCCCTGCACCCGAGTCCGATTCCTCATTTTCTCCCGTATTATCATCAGGGCTTGTGTGTTCCATTGAAACAGCTTCCTCTTCCACCGCGACTTCGGTAGATAGCTCTGCCGCTTTCTGCTGTGCCACATTTTCAGACTGTGTTTCGTCTTTCACAATCTTCAGCCATTTCTGAACCAGCTGGTTTGCCAATTCGTATACGCCTACAACAAAACGGTTGATTAATTGCAATTCATGCGTACAAAGAGAATTTGCGTAAAATATAGAAAAATGCTTACCCTCGAGATCCTCTTGTTTGGACAAAGTCTTCACAAACTTCGGAAGTGTGTTTGACTTCAAACGATCAACATTAACGGGTGTAATTAGTAGCAGCTCCAAAATCTCTTTGGCGAGGGCCCAATTCATGGAATAAATACCATCTTCCAACCACGTATGTATCAAAGCCCAACCATCGGCTGCCATAAATTGCTCTAGTAGAGTAGTTTCAGTATTCTTTAAAATTAACACGTACACACACTTGCTAACCAACTTTTTTGAGAATTTCTTCATCAAGCTATAAAATGGGGAGATTTAGCATAGATATTCACCAAAATAAAAGTCACTTACCTTGCCAGCCGTTGCACCTCATTTTTAGACAAAATGCCACCGGCGGGGGTTAACAATACTTGCAAGCAATTCAAAAGTTGAACAGGATCAATTCGGGGCTACAAAGAAATTAAAAATTAGAAAAGCTCGGAAATCTGTCAAATTTTTAGGCGTGGTGAGATCACGTGACCATTACAATATGGCGACGGTTCATAATTGATTAAATATGATGAGTCATACTAATAATCCCTTATTTAACTCGTTCTTAACATGATCAAAAAACATTCTATACTATTGCAAATGAAATTTTTATAATTACACGTTAATACTTATCCTTACCATTTTCGAACTTCTGATTATTACACTGAAGAAAAGATACAGTCCATAATAAGACAAAAAGTTTTTAAACAACGTAGCTTCTACTTATATACACAATTGGAATAATATTGACGATCAAAAAACCGTCCTAACGTCCATTTTCAACGTGAAAGGAAACCAACGCCCCGACCTCCATGACGACGTGGATTAATGATTGCGATTTTATACCGATTTCTCAGGATGAAATGACAAAATTCAATCTTCTAGTAAATACTACTAATGTAACATTGCGTAAAATCATAAATTGAACAATTAACAATAACAATTTTAAAAATTTCAGAATATTTTACACGAGAAGCAAGACAACGACCAAACTTCTATCATATGAAAGCGGAAATGTAGGAATGAGGAATGACGAAACGAACGTTGATTGGACGCGAGATTAGAGAATGGCGGAAATGCGTCATCGCGCATTCTCATTGAATCTCAAACACATTTTCACTTTACATAATTTTCATAAGCTCTAATTAGCGAATATCCATAATATCAATCGCCAAATAATTTAATTTTCTTTTAATTTGTTTTTAACTTAGATTTTCTATAATCTTGATTAGGGGAATTTCTAGAAATATATTTTTGTATACTGATTGCTGTAAATATACATAGAACACAACATACGTTCCAAGTAGGTATGAATAAACAAATACCTTAATAATATATTGAATAGCCTATAGCTGTACAAACCTCTATAAGGGAGTTTCATTTCAAAACACTGAATCCCATCTTATCTTTTTGAAAAAAACCTTGAAGTTCATCTAATCGAGAAGAATGAGGGAAATTCCAATGCTCTTGAGAAAAGGTTTATTGCTTTTCCAAGTCTAAAGCACGTCTATACTGAGTTTTGAATTGAATGGCTATTATATTTGAAACAATCGTGGACATATATTTTAAATACCTACCTACCTGCCTTAAACTCAGTTCAAGGTTCTATCTGAAGCCCTTCCACAGCAGTTTTTATGAGATGTCAACCCTTAGGTTCGTTTAACTCTTAAATGATGAAATGATGCTCTTAAATAACGTATTCTAAATGTTTTCCAGAATATTTTATAGGAAGTTTCCAGAGCATACAACGGCTTCTCACTGCAATCTAAAGCGCTTCAGGGCCAGGGCACTCTCCAAAAACCTTCTGTCTTGGAAAGGACACCCAGAAAAAGCACATATCGAACACCGAAAATCTTGTTTGGATAAATAAATGAAAAGGACGTTGACGTCCGAAAAGTGGTCTGAAATGCTCTGAAAAAGATATAAAAAGCTGCAAAAAGGACACAAATAGATGTGTTGATAGAAAATATTAGATGTGGTCTGAACATATTTCATAATACTCTTGTTCAGACTATTCGATCTTTAAGTTCTTCGAATTCGTCAGATTTGACACTTAAACTTTATTATTTCGACACTTCGGATTTATAAGGTTCTTCAACAGTTTATAGATTCTTCGGATTCTTCAAAATCTTCCATTTCTTCTATTCTGTACCTTCAGATGTTTCCAATTATTATTTTGTCAATTTTTCTGTTCCATCACGTGTTTCAAATCCATCAGGTGTATTAAGATCGGTAAGATTCTTCACATTTTTGAGTTTGTTGAAGTCTTCGTTTCATTGCAAATAGTTTTTTATCTTGGCCATAACAATTTCAGTTACAGAGAGTAAACCAGGCCCAGAGTGGTGCTTAAGCATCTATCGTTAATTAACTTACTCAAAAATGAAGAGCAAAAATAAAACGATTGTCACATGTGAACAATTGTTCATCTTGTCCTCAACAAGTGGCAAGACAATCGTTTTACTTAGAGTGGTGTTTATTTTAGATAGAACTGAATATGGGAAGTAGTCAATAGCGCGGAAGGGTCAAAATGCGCCTATCGTATATATCTCTCAGGGAGGCGTTAATGCGCGGAAATTGGTCATCTTCCTGATAAGAAGGAAGGGGGGGGGGGGGATTCATGGAAATGTATATGAAACAAAATAAACAGTAAACACTATAGGACCATATTTTATTATTTCGGAAGTTTTTGTGTACTATCGTTTAGCTTATTTACCCGACCCGTTGGAGTGGAAACTGAACTGAGGCATTAAGCTGGTTCGATCCGGTTTCAAGCTTGGATATTTAATATTTGTAAGTGTATAGTGGGTTCGACTGATGACGCAGCCTTGGTTGAAAACCCGCCCACTTGAAAATAAAGACAAAATAAAATTAAATTAATGAAAGGAAGTTTGCTGCATGATTTTGGTCACCTAAAATGGAAAAGAAGTACTGTACAATTTTTTGTAAGGTTAGTTATGCCGAACTCGCCTTTGGGCTCCCTCGACATTTGTATACTTCTTCTGCCGAACATTACCGAGCGAGCCAAAGACGAGTTCGCGGCACAACCCTCATTCAGCGTGGTCTACCTTGTTTGTACCATTATGAGTAGGTTTAATTATATTTATACTATGTCCAATTTGCTCAGGTGCGAAGCGCAAACTTAAGGTCGGATGTCGGAAACAGAATTCGATAGTCTCTATTCATTGCTGAGCAACATTAAGTTAATGGGGAAAGTTACACCCTCAAAACGGAATGCGTGATGACTGTCAAATTTGAGCCTGTTTGGGTATTAAGTATATAGAACGGAACTCAAATAAAGGAAATTTGAAATCCCTTGGTAACCACCTTAAGGTGGGTTCATAGTTCTCCGTTCATCCGTTGCGTTGATCCGTCAAACGAATAGAAAATTTTGTTAAGGTTCATAGCAATCCGTCCACATTGTACATTTGCAACGTATAACCATAACCTAAATTTTATTTTGTACTGTACCCTCCGTGATTTTCAGTATGTAAAAATGGTACGAAAGTAAGAATACGTTGCTATCTGATTATTACCGTGAAGAACGAATAGGCGAACGCTGTTAACGTACCAAACATAACCTCACTCTTGTTAAAAACGGACCAACGGAAACGTAAATGTTCAACTTCAACCAACTTTTCCTTCGTAAACGGACGACGTACGATTTAAAAATTTGCTGTCTTCTGATTGGCTAACGGACAAACGGAAACGTATGAACGGAGAGCTATGAACTTACCTTTAGGATCAAACTACGTACCGCTGTTTTAGATACACCCTGTATAAGTTATCTACTTCCTGAATATGACGATTTGGTAACATTTGGGGAAATTTTAGTGAAACTAGTTACTTTTTTAAGATTTGAGGTTATATTACCATTCGATAAATATGCTTTTATCCAGAATTTTGCATAATGTTGCATCAAAAGGTCTTATAACTAGACCGTTTCACACAACTTTACTTCTGCGAAAAATCGAAGTGGAGGAACCAAAACTAGAAGTACGAGACGTTACAAAGGATCGAACAGAAGTTATACCTGTGGAAACCAGTATTCGCTATCTTCAAAGTGCTGCTTACAAACAAACGTATTCGGGAAAGCCTGTGTGGGTCTTATACCGAAGAAACCATAAAGGAGGTATCCCCCCGAGGAAAACCAGACGTACGTGCATAAGAGGTGGTCAAATAGCTACTGGCAATCCCTGCCCGATTTGTCGGGATGAATATTTGGTATTACACGAGAATAACACCGAGTTGTTGAACCAGTTTATTTGTCCACACACGGGAAGTATTTTGAGTTATACGAAAACCGGGTTGTGCCAGAAGAAACATGAAGAGCTAATTGTTATGATTGAACGAGCTTGGGATCGCGGGTTGCTCACATTTGACATGCCTATACGAAAATACGACTACTCAGAATACTACAAACCAAGTGAAAATAATTAGAAATGAGTGCTAACTTTGTTGTGATTGGGGGCGGAATTGCGGGTGTTAGCTGTGCAGAAATGCTGTCATTCTTTGAACCTGACTCTCAAATAATTTTAGTTAGTGAATCATCGTTAATTAAAACTGTTACAAACATACAAGCTCTCACCAAAACCATCACAAACTTTGATGTCGTAGAGAAAGAAGCACAGTCTCTTACAGATACCCATCCAAACATAACTGTAATCCTCGACAGCGTTATAAAAATTAATACTGTCAATAATGCTGTTGAAACAAAGTCATGTAAAGTTTTAAAGTACGATTACTTATGCATTTGTACTGGAGGACGGCCTAAGCTTATCCCTCAAGCATTGGATAACAAGTACGTTGTTGGGATTAGGGATACTGATTCCGTGGACGAGTTTGTTGAAAAGTTGAGCAAAACAACAAAAATTGTTATAGTAGGCAACGGTGGCATTGCATCTGAGATTATTCACAAGATCCGTAACGTGGAAGTGCATTGGGTTATAAAAGATAAACACATTACAGCAACCTTTGTCGATCCCGGTGCCGCCACATTTTTCCAGGATTCTCTGAATCAGACAACTCCGGAATCTTCGGCTAAGCAAATGAGGTACAAAGAAGACGGTCCGAAGTCAGGGGCGGCGTTAGGTCCGAACTGGTATCAAAATTTAGAAATTTACGGTGCTTTGTCCAAATCATTGCCTGATAACATAAAAATACATTACGAATCTGAAATTATAGACCTTACGTGTGATTTGTCAAATCCACATCCAGTGAAAGTGACTTTGTCAAATGGACTTGTAATCGATAGTGATTTAGTGGTGTCAGCAACTGGTGTTGTTCCACATCATGAATTTGAAGTCGTTGGTTCCAACCTTGCTTTCTCAGAAGATCGTGGGATTGTGGTTAACGAATTCCTTCAAACTACCGTTGCAAATATCTATGCCGCAGGCGATGTTTGTTCACCAACGTGGCAGTATGCGAAGCATTGGTTTCCCATGAAATTATGGACTCAAGCTCGTCAAATGGGTTGTTACGCCGCAAGAAGTATGTGTGCTAATCTTAACAAGGAAGAGATTTTGCAGGACTTTTGTTTTGAAATATTTACGCATTCTACAAAATTATTTGGTTACAAAGTTATTCTTTTGGGTCTGTATAATGGGCAGAAATTAGGTCAGGATTATGAGATTTTACTGCGTATGACCAAGGGTCATGAATACATTAAATTTGTCATACAAGAAGGTAAATTACATGGTGCCATATTGATAGGTGAAACCGATTTGGAAGAAACATGTGAAAATTTGATTTTAAACCAAATTGATATATCTCCTTACGGCACTGACATTTTAAATCCTGATATAGATATAGAGGATTACTTTGATTGAATTGTAGATTATAAGTAATGCTATAACTTTATTTTTGTTGGTAAAATAAATGAGATGGTTGAGAGCATTTTATGTTGTTTTTTATTTAGGTAAGACTAGTAGGTAAGTAGGTAATAATGGAGAAATTCCATATTTCATGAAACAAAAATAAAATTATATTTGATTTGGGTCTGTTTCCTAAGCAGAGATATGGATACGAACATTCACAAATTTACTTTGCAATATTCACCCAAGTCGGCTATGGAACAAAAGAAACACAGTGGTATGCAAAAAACTATACTCTGGCGGCGGAGATTTCTTTTATTATTATTTTATATTTCTCTTATTTATATTTATTTTGAATGATATTTAGGTATTTGTTGCTCATAATTTAAAAATTTATATTGAGTGTTAATTTTAATTATTAAATATGATTTTAATTATCACTTGTTATGTGTTTTTTGTTTCAAAGCCAACTTGGATGCATATAAATATTGCAATTTAAAATTGTGAATGTGCTTATTTTCGCCATATCTTTGCTTTGGAAATAGATATCAAAATGCGGTTTTCACTGATATTTTCACTTTTTCATCTTATTTGATAATATAATAATTTTATCGTTCCATTTAAAACTTTCAAGAAATCCTATAACAGTTTAATTTAAATGCCAAACCCTGTACATTTTCAGAATGACTGCACTGTCAAGTAAAAATAATTTTAGGAAAGGAGCATAAGTACTTAGGTACCTATCGAAATTTTCACAGTAAAACCGCGAGCGTACTTCCTCAAACTTCGCGTCCTTCTCCGCTGCATTGAGTTCACACGCTGTAACTGGGAAACGAGAGGGTTTTTGTGTTACCTTTGCCATTCTATGTTGTTTCCGACAAACCATCGGGGGCCTATAACACAAACTATACAATTGTAACAAGTCTACAAGTTACAAGTAATCTGCCTGTAACCTTTGAATATTTTTATATTCAAAGCTGTTACCAAAGAGTACCCTCTTTGCTGTAACTATAACTACAAGTCCTATAATAAATTTCGGTATATGCAAATGAGTTGTGTTATGAAAAAGCTACAAGTGTGAAATATATTCTAACAATTGTAGGACTTGTACGGGTTGTGTTATAGGCCCCAGGTTGCTTACCGATGGACGAGGATTTCGAGGATCTGTCGAACAATTCTGGGTCACTGATAAAATTTTATTAATATCAAGGGCACTAGAGGAACAGTTTTCCGTAATTTTTTTGAAAACATATTGAAGGACTAGCTCCTTCAAGGATCGATTGATGAAAATTCGCGTGAGGAGGGTTAGGGCGAGGTGAAGCAAATTTTTTAATGAGACTGCGAGATCGCGGATGGACCATCCATAGGAGATGGGTGTAATTTCGATCCAAAGGATGCTTATACGACATCAGGAAAATATATAAAAAATATTGAAAACCTAGCTGAAGACGATATTGTTTTCTAAATTTGCAAAAACGGTGGCCACATATGTAGAGTATGTGAAAAAAAAGATAATCGCTCGAACGCTTTTCCTTCCGTGGCACGCTCGCTTTCGTGTTTTTCAACATAAAAAATTCGTAAATCGCCGCAAAAGGAGGTCGCTGCCGATAAGGGAAATAGGCAGGGCCTGGAGCAGAAGATATGCAACGCAGAATAAAAAGTACGCCACGCTACAATTTTTCCGTGTTCTGTGATATCATTGAATAAGTAATTCAATGGTGAATATTCAAAGTAGGTATGAGCCGGTACTTCCGGAATCCATGGACGCACTTCTCGCGGTGGCCCCGGAAGGCAGGAGGACACATGCGCGCATGAGGTTGTTTTTTCGTATAGTCGAAAGTTTGAAAATGTTTAGCGGGCGCAGGAGAGGATATACGAAAAAACCTCATATGCCACATAAAGCTGAAAAGATATAAATGTAAAACTCAAAATGTGCAGATGTAATGAACGTTTCGTTTCTTACTTTGGATGTTTTTGGCCACCATATGCCCAACGAAAATACTATGCGATGCGAAGTTGATGAGTTGCTGTCGAGTCACCCTTGGAATTTTTGTTTACACTTGAACTTCCAAAGGCCACTCGACAGTAACTCATACATATACAGTAGTTAGATGTTTTCATGAAACATCAATTAATAAAATATTGAATTGTAGACCGCAATACCTAATTAAGGATGAAAAATGTGTAAACAAATATATTAAACGATCTCCCGACTCCTGGGGGTGTGACTATAGCATCCGCAAAACAAAAATTTGAACCTGGTGTTAGATGTTTGCTTTTATTGCACATTTCTACTTAAAAACTGTTCACGAATTATCCCTTATTGGTTCCTCTAAAAATAGAAATGAAAACCTAAGAGTGAAAATCAACATGTTTAAAAGTAAAAATCATTAGCATGAATCATTAATATTTGCAGTAGGTGTGTATATTCACAATGATTTTTACAATCAAATTTACATTACAATTTTCCAATCATCCAAAAAATAATAAGTACTTTATGAATCAACTCCACAAAATAATAATAATTAATTTTTATTCATACCTTGAACTTGAGCGTTGTGGGATAAGTCATTACAAAACAAAATACAAGTAAAAACGAATAACAAAAGAATTGAACATACACGTAGATGCGAATTTGTTTATAAATGTGTCATCTAAAATATTCCTTTAGGGAATAGTAACTTGTTTCAATTAGCAGCTTTGTCACCGCGTTTTTAAAATGAGAAGCACATAGAATGATTTTAATGTCTCTAGGCAATTTGATGTACACTTATATACCTATAAGCATTATTTTTTGCCGCCAACGGCCAAGGTGTATATTTATGGGCCGGTGGCAATAGACGATCGCTCCACCTTAGAGCATATTTGTCCTGCTTATTGTTGGAGAGGTGAATTTGAAAATGTGTTGCATAAGTATGGCGGGAGTTGCATAAAGTGGCAGAACCAATTTTTACATTCGTTAAAATACAAATTAAATAAAACATAAATAAAAGAGAAAGCTCTGGACTATGACAAGTAGAAAATAGGGTAGGCCTACTATGTGAGCGCGGGACCTCCCTGGATAATTTGTGCCCACTCTTCCTGTGTATGGAATTCCCTTTTAATGAAAGGGATATTAGATAAATATAAATAGCAACAATTTGGGGTATGCACATGATATCCCATGTATGAGCTATACAAGGTCTAGCTCTATAGAGAATATAAGTACATCAATTAAAGAAAAAAAACATAATTTTCTACTGACAATTCAACTCATGTATAAAAAATCGCATAAGCCGCAGTGCAATTGTCACTTTGACGGCGGCAAAAGTTACCTGCAACTTTTCCAGCGACAAATGCACGAGTGGTTTTTTCACTTATTCATTTTCGAACCAAATATCGTATTATCCTGTCCCATATGACTAGATGACGTCTGTCAATAATTGATTAGTTTGGTGAATTTCTTGTTCGTTAAATTGTCCTGCCGAATTACACTCGAGGTTTGTATTTAAACCGAGTAAATTTGTGTTGTTGTAATTCAAATCTGTTGCCTTTTAGCAATTGAACTCTAAAAACTGTCAACCTAAAAATGCTCCACCTTCGGTGTCGCATTTTTATTAGTTGACAGTTTTTCTCGTCTAATTGCTAGGCAACAGATTTTCATTACCTAAACAACCCAAATTTACTCGCTAAAATACAAACCTCTTGTGCAATTATAAGTGAAAAAATAGCTCACACATGCTGTTGCACAATGGGATGAGTGGATTATTGTTATATGATAAAATGTGCGAATATATTTTTGAAAATCTGTACAGACATCAGAAAAAAAATCGTTTTTGCTAGAGATCTAGTTATGGGCACTATGTGTTCCGAGATCTCCTCGAGACATCCTTATTTTGCATACATCAGTGTGTCGGATTATCAAGATTGTACTGTAATATGAAATGTCCTTTATGCAATTGTAAATTTACTTTGCCGCGTGATATAATTTTATTGACGTGATGGTCTCCATATCATGAATTACTAATCATATTCAAAGCCATTCGTTTATGAAAAAAATTATAAAAACATTCAAAATAAAACATGCAACAACAATTTTCAACATTATAATCTAAAAGTTACACCTTTTTTAGATTTGTTCACAGAAACGCTATTACACAAAGCAGTTTCCAACGCTTGTGCAGATTTCACAAATTTAGCAAAAGCCAAACGCACTTTCTCTTCTTTGTTAATGTGCGGCTGTAAAACTTTTGCCGCAGCATAAATATCATTCATAACGGAATTAATTTCTAATTCCGAAATAGGCGGATTATCCCACTTTAAATTATTGAAAAAATGTTCCGCATCCTCACGGTTAAGAACATTCTGCACTTCCCCTACAGTACAACTGGCACTATTAAGAGTACTATTGTCAAAAATATTTACGTAATTTCCACATTTATTTAAACTAACTTCATAATCACACCCTGATGTATTTAACTGCAACTGTAAATTTCGTATCAACTCTTGCTTTCTAGATGGAGAGGTCAGTAAATTTTCGACTTCCTCCAAAAAATTTGTTCGATAAGGTGATAAGTTTACATTGCCATTTAAATTGGACATCACTCTAACACGTGATTCCAACTCTTCCTTTTCCTTCGCCACTTCCGCCAGCTGCTCCATTTGCTGCAGCTCATTTTGTTTGTATCGATTTTCCCAATTCTTTTGCGCTATTTCTAACTCATTTTCTTTCTCTGATAATTTGTGTCGTAGATCTTCTAGTTCTTGTAAACACTCACCAGAATTGTCACTTTGTATGCTACATGACGATAAAGAGTCGCATTCGTATTGGTGACGCAATGTTTGCAATCTCTTCACTTCTGTTCGCAGTTCCCTTATCAGACGATCGTGTGGATCTTCGTTAATATGAGCCCTATTTACAATAGATCTCGCCTGGCATGCGTAACGTAATGTGGCCAAGGTTTCATCGACGTGAACGTGAGAGGGCGTTATTGTAGCCAACATTGATGTGAACGAGTTCCCTCCGATACTTTCCTGCAATTACAGATGTAGTTAAAGAATAGAATAGTGAGACAACCTTATAGAGAAAGGGATATTTCCTAGCTCTGTGTGTGATGAATCACTTATGCAGAGCAACAATTTCCTGTAACCGTAAGTTATGAACCGAATTGCATGAAATTCAATATGCGTATAGCTTTAGCCATATAAAACGCAATTCCAAAAATTGAGCCTAATCGATCAACATTCACAATGCCCTTTTCGCATCTTGATCATTTATAAATCGAATTGCAAACTTTTATATTTATGAAGATATTTAAATAAAGTTTGATACATAGCCACTTGGAATAAAACCAAATTTAACGCCAGTTTCAAAATTTCGTTTTGCGCATGCGCAGTACCAACTCTTATTTATGGAGGGATTTAAATGAAATTTGATACATAGTCCCTTGGCATAAAGGAAAATCAAACTCCAGTTTCAAAATTTGGTTTTGCGCATGCGCAGTGCCAACTCTCTTATTTATGGAGGCATTCAAATGAAATTTGATACATAGCCACTTGGAATAAAAGCAAATGTAGCGTCATTTTCCAAATTTGGTTTTGTGTAGGATGTGCACAAATTTCATACATATACACTTTAAATAAAAGCAAAACTAACATCAGGTTTAAAATTTGGTTTTGCACATGCTATAGCCATCTATAGCCTATAGCCATACCCAGGAGCTCATTTTCTATATTTGTTTAGTTTCGAGTTTAGTTTATTACTTTGAAGATTTAGGTTTTTTAGACAAGGGAGAAAGACAAAAAAATGTGCTCTTCTCCAGCAATCTAGATAACTTGAAAACTAAACACATATTATGTGTTGTCTGGATAAAGGGTGTTAGTATTAAACGTTAAATAACTTACCCGTAACAGCCACGTGAGAACAGATTCCCTGTAAGGCACAAACTGGGTACCTTTCCTCTGATCTGCGAGTGCACAAATGACCTTGCCAAGGGTGAGTAGAGATTTATTTATGAAGATACCTTGCTTATGTTTATCGTCATGGTTGCTCACACCACCCAGTCTTTCGCTTCCAGCTAAATCGACTAAACTAACCTTGCTGCGTCTCGTTAAATTCGCTTCACTATTACCATCGGACAATGATAATTCAATCGAAAAAATACTATGCGAACGTGAGGACTTCTCATTCATTACTGTAGCTGCTGTTGCCCGATTTTTGTTTCCTAACAGTAACCAAGACTTCAACTCTTCGTATGATTTAACAGTATGTGTGCTTAAATTAACAACGTAAGGACCCCAAACTGGATGCTCACGGACCTTTAAAGGTACTCTTACATTATTGGTCGAGTGTAGTAACAAATCGTGAATTTTTTCATTGTAAATTTCGAAATAACTAACATCGACTGTTGCTGTAGAATGGCAACTGAGATCACTTACTTTCTCGAACAATCTTTTACAAAACCGTGGAATAATACCGACAGATTCATTGTAGTCTACCACCTGCGAGTCTTTGCCCATCATACTGTAACTTTTTCCGGTGCCGGTTTGTCCATATGCAAATAAGCATGCGTTGTAACCTTGGAAGGCGGTTTCAAGTAAAGGCTCGCCGATATCCGAAAAAACATCTTCCTGACTAGAATAACTTGTATCAGTGGCATCACACGACAAGAACACGTGATCGTAAGGAAATGTGTATGCGAGTTTTGTGACAGAGGAGCCTAGTGAACTTGAATTGATTGTGATTTTGTTATCATTAACGTTTATGATGTTAGTCGAACCTATAACACTTAATTCACGAGTATTCATCGGGCGTATACGTACAGCTACGGTTAGGTTTCTCAATTCGTCACATTTGTTCTCGCTAGCAGCAATTTTCGAGGGTCCCGGTGTCTCTACAGTTACTTTTGTGTAACATTCCGGGGTTTCAGAAGGCACTTTGGTAATCACCCTTTTATGTAACCTCTTGGGAGTTGTAAGGTGATTCTTTGGCGTATTTAACGATGAGAGCATTCTGTCGATATCAATAAAAGGAGTGTCAATTGAATGTAGTTATTTAAACTATTCCTTTCTTTTAATTTAATTTAAATGTTCGAATAAGCTGTCAGTTATTTTCCGTTACTTGTTTATCTTTCAAAAATTGTGGCTCACATACCGGTAATGGATGCATTTCATTCATCATTTGTCATACTTTTACACTGCGTTTCACAATTATTGTCAAATTTTAACTTACCTTAAAAACCTGTTATATTCACTTTTGGAGAAATATGAGATACGTCATGATGTATTTCTCTTCGTCATGTTGGTGTTGGATAAATTAATTTTATAACTGGTTTCTTAACGACGATTTTCGCCGCATTATGGTTCCTAAGGCTTAACCTTATACGAAGCTGTTCAATAACTCCCTAAGTGCCCCAGACACGAATCAGATCAATAAACGAATAATCAGTGTGAATTGATGGGGTGGCAAACCCAACATACGACGCACTAACCCGCAGAAACCAGGGGTTGGAACCCATATGAATTATAGGTTATTTTTTAAGGGTTCCGATTCTGGCTTTAGTAATTTTTGTTCCGATTCCAGTATTTTTTTTCAGGTGCTAAAGTAAACAAATATATGATAGGAATACACAAAATTCAAATACAAACATAAACATATTTTTGCCATATTTAGAATACATTTTATCCGAATCTGAAAATTATAGCTTATGACACTGAAATTGCATTCCTCTTTCCTGAAATTGCCCAGTTGTGATTCCTGGAAACAAAGCATTACGAAAAGTTGTTATTTAGTAACTGTGATTCCATGAGGTCGCATCTTGCTCTCCTAATCACCTGTAAAACCTTTTTTCAGATAAGTACATCGCAGTTATGACGAACCATATCCGGAAGTCGCGAACCAATTGTGCCTTTTGGTTTTCCTTTATACAAAAAAATTAACGCGGTATACCTAATTACCAAAATGAATTTTAATGAAGGCAAGAAAATGGAACATCCAGCGTTGATTTACAAATCAAAATCTGTAGACGATGACGGCGACCATAGTCGGCGGAACTGGAGTTCCAGAAGCTTCTGGACAAGATGCAGTCGGCGACTCGAATGGAGAACGGAATTCTAAACGGCAAGCGGTGAGCGGCTACTGATTAATGCTAAAACAAACTTAAAGCGCACAGCGATTTCCCTAAGCGGGAACAGTAAATAGTCGGATTCAATAGCGGTTTGTACGGGAAAGTAATTGCAGGGAAGCGAGATAATATCCCATTTTATAATTATGTAAACGGAAATAACAAAAACGGAGCGGTAGGAATTACCTGTGCAAGGAAAAACAAAAGCTATAGTTATACGGTGCGGTAAAGTTAATGTAAAAGCAAAATTTAAACGGCATGAATACAAAGTAGATTTACGGAAAGCTCAAAATTGCGGTACTTATAAAACGTAGTTTGCAAAAATGCAAAAGGCGGAAAGCAAAAAATGTAAATATTGTTAAACACCAAACGCAAAAAATCCCCTCTTAATAAAGCGTTTACCTTAATATACAGGGTGTTACATGACGGCATGTAAAAAAAATTGGGTGATAGAGGGGCACTTTTTCCAAAAACACCGAGGGTCCAACGTGTTTCGTTTGGAAGCCACCCCCAAAGCAGTAATGAAATTTGGATTTCTTCTTTAATTTTTTTCTCAGCAACCAAGAGTTACAAAGATGGGTGGCACGTCTTTGAATAGGTTTTCGGGTATGCTCTATCCGATTTTGAAAAGCAATTTTCAAAATTCCTATCACGAAAGGGCGCACCCCTGCTCGGGGGTGCGAAAAAAATTCTGATTTCGACGAAATTTGGTATCTGGGGGTTTTTGAACATGAAAATGACGAATCGAGAATTAGTTTTTAAAAATTTGACGAAAAAAGTTCCACTGCAATTCTTGGCCGGACAACAAAAACAAACAAACAAAAGTTATACTCATTTGAAGATTCCGCCTTCGGGTTACAAAGTGTTCCCCGCCTACTAGTGAGTGATCTTATTTCGCATTGAAAATGTCGCAAATAAAAAAACAATTATTTAAGTCTCTAAAAAGCATCTACGCTGACGTATTTTAATGAACTGATGCCCAGCGAGTATTAATGAGAATAGACAGTGTCTTTGACATCAATCCCTTGAGACAAGGAAGTTGCATCCACGACAATCGCCTCCACATTTTACCACAGCAAAGCGTGGCCCAACTGTGACCACACCAATTACTTTGTGTATGTTTGCTTGACAAGATAGCGTTTTGGAGGTTCAACATATCTGATTCAAGAAAGTGTACAGTAAATTCCAGATTATCCGCATAATTGAGTGGTGCCGATATCCAGATTTCACAGATAAGTTGCAAAATTGCTGATAGCAGTTAAACAATGGCTGAAGGTACTCAAAAACCGCGGATAATCGAGTGTACTTCCAATTTAGGTATAATAAAAAATCACATTTTCTTATCTTTTTAATCGATGGTAGTACTAAATCCTGATTTGTGTATAACCTGAATATATACAAGGGAGCACCTTTAAGATAAAATACAACATAATCGCATGGGGAGGTCATGGTTTTTTTTTGTACAAGCAAAGTCTCTCAGGTACGTTCACATTGACACCCTGTCACGATAAGTATCATGTTTAAATCAAAATGATGATTAGAAAAGTAGCTGAAATATCTTACATCTTGATTGGAACAGTTTCTGCTTAAAAAATTATGTTTGTACTTAAGTCTACAACACTATAACTCGCATGCACAAAAAAAATTGAATCGCAACTCGTTTTCAAATTATAATATACAAAAATTGTAAAATAAGTTAACAATTACAAGGTTCTATCACAGACACAAATTGAACATCACTTAACTAATAGTCCAGATCATCTGGCGGTCTTACATACAATTCTCCAAACTTCGACATATATTTCCTTACAAATTCTTTTGCTTTTGATTTCACACTTTCTGTACACGTTAAGTCTTCTAAATTCTGGCAGTGCTTTAATTCCTTTATCATTACGAAATGAGTTAGCTGAAAAAAAAAACAAACACGTAGTGTGCAAAGCAAAATTTCGATTAACACATTCAGTGCCATTAAAACACACATATGACGTCTGTTTATCAAATAACATAATGTTGCCCATTTCCAATTATTTACTCTCTCACTCTGCAATCAGACACAGATCAAAAAGACAATAGTGACGATTGTTACATTAATTCCCTACGTGAAAAATGTGTGAATTTAAATAACCTTCTCCAGAGTAATACCAAAATCCATCACAATCTGCATTACTATTCCCCTATTTAAAGCAGGATGTTGACAAAGTTTTGGCCCTTAAAGATTAGCCAATTTTTATTAAGGACCGTTTGTGAATGGATACTAATTTGCAAAATAAGATTTTGTTTTTCAAATATTTTGGAAATTAGCAAGTTGGTCCCTTACGGCCAGTTGCACAAAAAAATAATCCAGGAGCATTGTTTAATCCGGTATTAAGACATTTGATTGGCTTTATACTGCAGTATGCAACCAATCAAATGTCACAATTCTTGTTTAAACCCAGATTTGGCAAATAATGTAGGATTTTGATTATAATTCGCTTTCCTGCAACCGGCCGTACAAAGTATTAATAATATGAGCACACTATGCAATACCTTTTATTTAATTGATCCTGCTTGTAACATACCTTTCTAGCAAGATGTTTGAAATCTTCTGTATTCGTGATTTTTCCCTCCTTACAGTCAGCCTTCCTATAGGGATTTAATATTCCGACCATGACACCGGCCATAATTGATGTAAATGATTCTTTAATTTTCCTAGCAGATTCAGAATTTAAATCCATAGCTTCTTTTAATTGGATTTTTGTCAACGTTTTGTGTTTACGTGACGATTTAGGCGTCTTAATTGTAACTTTTACCCGCTTTTTAGTTTGTTCTGCCGACGTCTCTTTTTGCCGTTTCAATCTCTCTTTATTTTCCTTATATTTTCTCAAATTCTCTTTCGCCAATACCTTATCCTCTTCGGTGCGCGGCTGTAAAATACAATTGAGTGAATTAACAACTGCGAGAAAACTTACGCTTATTATATGCACTTCGGTTACCAAACCTAACCGTTTTCGTTTGGACGCCGATTCTCGGTTTGTTGAGCATTCACGTTTCAACACGTTAAACTCCTCTTGCAGTCTTTCGTCGAGGGAAGTCACGCTCGTATCAAGCATCTCCTCCTCTTCATTCGTAATAGTGCAAGAGTCGTTCGGGCTTAATTCAATTTGTGGACTGCATTTATCGAGTGAATCCAAGAGTGAATGTTTTTTACGCACACTCGCCGCTAATTTTGACTCTTCTAAATCGTCTTCGTCACTATCCTCCGATGATGAATCCGAGCTTAGACTGCTAGTTTCTGAACTGGATGACGATTCTGTAGCTACAATACGTTTTTTGTCGAAATATAAGTTAAACAATTATTTCTGCTTACATTCCTCATCCAGTTCAAGATGTGGAGGAATTTCTGGTGGTTCCCACTGGGATATGCGTATTTTTATGTGATAATAGTAGGGACGACCATATTTATCTTTCGCGCATTTCCATTTGGGTGGTAATTTAGCTGGTGGGGGAATAGGTCCCGCAAATTTTACCTAAAAAAATTAGTTTTGAACATTCCTTCGTGCTTTAATGTTGAACTTTAAATGACATTCTGAGCTTTTCTCTGTTCTGCTAGAGCTTACCACATTTTTTCAGAGTTTTTTATGCTGGTATGGTTCTAGAGGGTGCACATAAGGTTTTTGGCAGCATTAGGAAAGATTTAAGGTCCTTGAAATGCTATAGAATTGTTTGGAAAGTGCAAGAAGGTTTGGAAAGCCTCACAAACGCTTCCACGGAAATCAAAGGACCTTTAGTGCCCCCCGGAGCTGCTTGAACCTTACAGTACAAGAGCCTTCGAATAGTATTTCCTAATTTTAAAGTCTTTAGGACTACACGCTCTAGAAAGAACCTAAAAATTCCATACAGGACTCTCACTAAACCATTTTATACAAGTTTCTGTTCATTTTAGATAAGAGTGCTCGAAGTCTTTCAGGACTTCTATGACGTTTACAAAGCACCTTTTGTGGAAACTATTTGCACCTTTTTTTCGCATTTTGTAACACCTCAATTCGACATTCATTAAATGTTTTTTAATATTTCCAATCTGTTGCCAAAAATATTTCAGTTTTTTGAGAACGCGCCATTTAAAATTAATCTCAAATCCTTTAAAATCCATAAAATGCATGTTTTAATGACCTCTACCCTACCCTCTCATTATTTTACAAATAAGGAAAATACATACAACATATATTCCCAAAAAGTACAATTAAAATTTCCTTTTCCTTTTAAATGATTTTTAGTTAATCATATTTAAATGTTGCTGAGAGGTGACCGCCCGCCCCCCATTCAGATATTTGAGGATGGACATGAATCATGATGAGGGCATTAATACCACCTTTCAATATCATTTAAATCGTTGCGTGAAATGTACTACTGTTGAGTAACGGCATAATTTTGTTTTCGAGAATGGATGATTTTTATGGAGAGGGGGTATTATGTTGCTATCATTTGAACCAAATGCGCATATTTGAGTTACTGAATTATTGATTTTTAGTGCATTTATTAAGAATTTTAAAAAATGTGCTGTTTGCGTTTTGTTCGGACCCACTTTCTATGGTTTTGAACTAGTGGTGCAAAGTAAAACTTTTAAACATGGAGGGGAGGGGCTAGGGGTGAACCACCCTTCCTGGTATTCAAATGAAAGGTCTCATCAAATAGAATTGGTTCCTACAAACTAAAACTTTCCTGCACAACTCCTATTCGAGAACAGTGGGTGATGGGGGAGGGGAGTAGAAATAGAGTTTATCTTTGGTTTTATTCTTCATTCTTCATGGTACTGACTTCTAATAACTATCCCTTTCCTCCAAGACCTATTATCGGGATCGCTAATAATTCATTACCATTTTGTAATTGGGGGAGGGGGGGGACTAAAAAGAGGTATTCAAATAAAGTCTCAACAGCAGAAATTAATTCCTACCTACTCTCCAACATCTTTTCAAGATAAGTTATCATTCCTCATATTTCAAGAACAGTGTTGGACGAGTCAGACAAAGGCAAAAAGGGGTGCCATCTATCGATGATCTCAAAACTAAGTGTGAATATATCGCGAATGGAATGTCGGGAGAGCGTTCACACAAAGGGCTATTGAAACATTTGGTCAAAGCATATCTATTGAAGTCCAAACATTTATTATTTATTTATTAACTGCAAGTGCGAATATGTTGAGAATGAATTTTCAGAGGAGGATACCGACAAAGAGAAAATAGAACGTCTGGGCGACACATCGATTGCTAACATCAGGACAACTATTTTGATATCAAGAGTGTCGGAGGAGGGTATTCACAGAAGGAAAATGGAACATCTAGACGAAATATATGTATTAGTAGTGTCAAAACGTATATCTTGAGAATGCAGTGCCAAAGATACAAAGAAAAATCTGGACAAGGCGTACCTGTGTGCGTAGGTGTGAATATATCAACCACAGTGTGTTGGTAGAGATCACGTACAGGCCCACTTTTGCTCAAATAAGTCGTATTAATTTTGAAGTATTTTTTAAAATTTAATTTGCGAATGCGCAACCACTTTTTGGTGGGGCTAGCAGTTATGTGAATATTAATGAGGCACTGAATAATTAATTTTCGAACTGAGTATTACATTTTGTTTTAGAAATAGTATCAATTTTAGATTTTTTATTGTTTTGGCCAGATAATCTAATGTCTTGCATGTAAATACCAAGAATGCAGACCACCAGATTACCACCAAATTTTTATATGAAGCAACCTTATAGAATTTGAAAAATCACACCTATTGGCAATATTAAATCTCAAAAAAATGGCTACCTTTACGCTAATGTATCAAAGCATAAAATTACACTTATATGTGTGTAAGTGCAAGGCAATTCTTACCTGTATCTCTTTTTCTGGCTGTTTTTCCGAATTAAAAACGTGCTGTGAAATATTAGGTGGCGGAATATTGGTTGGCTGCATCGACAGGCTTTGCGATTGTAAATTTGATATGGGAGTAACATTCGTCGGTGGAGGAATGTTTGTTTGCAAAGTTATATTTTCTGGAAGAGAAATGCTCGTCGCTTGAGGAATTATTCGAGGAAGAGACGGTGGCGGTATGTTTGTAGGTATATTGAGAGTGGGGACATTCGGTATGGCTGGCATTGTATGAGGAATTAATGGACGATGGATGTTTTGTTGCATGTGCGAGATGTTAGGGGGCGGCACGGACATGTTGGAGATAGCTGGCATTGGTGGGGGAATGCTGGTGATTTGCGGATTTATCATAGGATTCGACATTGTGACTGATGGCATTGGTAAATTGGGGAGGGACACTGAGATATTTGGGACTGTCCCAGGCATTGAATAAGAATAATTTAAGCCAATGTTAAATCCGGGTGTAAGGTTTGAGGTTATAATAGGATTGGCATTTAAATGTACGGGATAGTTCTGCCACTGTCCGTTTTGTTGGTTCCATATCATTTGAAAGTTTCTGGAAGGTTCATATTGCGAAGAGTACATTGAATCGTTGCCTACAGACATGTATGGGATATCATGTTGCCTCCATATCTCTCGTTTATATCTCCGCTCTTCTTCTTGTTCAACTTGCATAGCAAATAACTTTCGTCTTTCGTGTTTATTAATCCTACTATGCATACCATGATACGAATCTTCGTGTTTTTGACTCTTTCTGCTTTTCCTCTTTTGTTCCCTGAACTTCTGGCGCCTGTGCCTTTCCTTTTCTTTTTCTCTCTCCCTTTCCCTTTCAGAATGATGCTCGGAGTCCCCTTTGTAGCCTTTATCAGCTTCTCTTTCATGTTCTTTCATTTTTTCAACTCGTTCTTTCTTTGGTATTCTAAAAACTTCTTTAAGAACAGACCACGTTTTTAGTAGTTCTAAAGCAAGTGAAATTATCTCCCCCTCATAGTCTCTTTCATCTTCCTTAGGACGATCTTTTTGCACTTCAGCCACCTTTGTTTCGGAATTAAAAACCATTGTGGAAATATCCATATCTTCTTCGAACATATCAATTATTTCTTGAACCAACTTTACATTATCTTCTTCTACTCTCCAAAGGTTTTCGGAACGTATATTTTCTATATCCATACCTACGGATCTCCTTATCTCATACATGTCTACAGGTCTTTTGAACACCATCTTCTCATCCTCTTCTAACTTGTCTTCTTCTTTTATCACCTCATCATTTTTCCATGTTTCTGTGGGATCACTCTGAATAGTGATCTCAGCTTTTGGCTCACATATTGGAGCTGCCTCATTGTCTAACATGGGTGAATTACTTTCGGAATCGAATTCTTTGGGTATATTGACTAATTTTTTTGACCATAATTCGACAGTAGGTAGAACCTTACTGTCTTGGAGCATTGTTTTGTCGGGAATTGGAAGCGTAGCTAATGTTTGCAGGATGCCCAGCCTGTGTAACATTTTCCATTTTTTAGTAGCGTAGCACAGTTATAGATTACCATACCTTAAAGCCTCTTGTTTTTCATTGGTTGAACACAATTGTTGTGCATCACTCATCCATCCATAAATCAGCTGTAAACCGTGATAGTCCAAAAACAACCTTCGACATGGAAATTCACCCCGTCTCAATACTCTTAGTAATGTAGTTCTTTGTGAAACTTCGGTTGCGCGAACCATTAAGCGACAAAGTTTGACGGTTTGCGCACGATTTTTTAACCCTGTCGAAACCAGCAGTTCTAACTCTTCGTCAACCTGCAAGATAAAGAGTGAGCAACAGAGAACGGTAGGCGATGCAAACATACATCCACATCCTCGAATAAATCTTTCAGTATCTTTCTTTTAATGATTTTTTTCTTTTCTTTCCTTGCTGGCGTCTGAACCTTTACTGGCAGTTGAATCTCGGCTGGAGTAACAACCGGAGGGGTTTTACTAGGGATTGGCTCTGGAGTTTCCACCTTGATGATTGGCTCCGGTACCAGTGTTGGCGTCACAGGTGGCGGGAGCTCAACAACTGGTTCAGTAGCAGGAACAATGACAGGCGGTTCGGGAGGTAAAGGTGGTTGTTCTTCTTCAGCTTTTGTCACCTCTGGGACAACTTCCCTCACCACCTTCTCTACTTCTTCCTCATCTTCCTCTTCCTCCTCTTCTTCTTCCTCGTCATCATCGTCATCATCATCAGGCTCTTCGCCAAGCCAACCTCTGCACAAGCTTGACTCGCAAAAACACTTTTGCGCTTCTTTTCTGTAAATACTGATTGAAAATGGGTTACAACTAAGAATAATTCCTACCCATATCGTTGAAATTGATAGTCAAATGTAATCTCTTCACCGGCGATTATAGTTCTCTTACTGAAGAAGCCTATACGCAACTCTCCATTAACAGTCCACTTTTGTGTTTCAGCGTTAGGATCGCAGGAGTGGTTGATGAACCGTGAGATGTTACCTACGATCGCGGCCATTATTTACAACAACACCAATTGCCTCGTACCAACCTTTTTGAGTGGCGTCAATTACCGCATCAGATCTAAGCGACATAAAATAGTAGTGCGGATTTTTATCTTTGGAGTATTCGGTGGCGCGATCTTCAAATTCATCTGGGCCAATCACCTCGCCAACATACTCAAGGATAAATTCCCCACTATAACATGCTTTGTTATTCAGGTTAGAGCGATATTGTTTAAATCTTACAAGGGTATCGCCGCAGTAGCTCTTATACCCAGTCCCTTTTTGTCTGTCCTAAAGACTTCACACGGCGAGAAAGCGGATTTTTGAAATCTTTTGTTTGTGCATTTATCTCCCACAGGGCACAACGTTCCACTGAAATACAAAATGAGGAATCATTTGGATGGATAAGATAACTGCAATTGTAATATAAGGCCCCTCCTCTCACACTTGGCTTCCAAAATTATCAAAAACAATCAACAACTATACTTTTCCAGTGCCCCCACCCAGATTCAAACTATTATACCACTCAACTATATCAAGGTGACTTGGAGGACTTAGCAGTACGAAAAAAGCAACTAATTTACCTAACAACAGATAGATCCCATGATATCATTAAAAATAACTATAGGACTTAGGGTTGTACTACCACAAACTTTATACCATAGAGACTATTGCAATCCACTATTTACAGTCAACAACATACTCACCGTCCACGCTGTATGCATCTATGAATGTCTTGTATACATTAAGCAAAACCTTACAGACCTTACAAGACATGCAGACCAACATGACTACAATACAAGAAACATACCGGCTAGTGAACAACATATATAAACTATCGACCACTCAGAGGAACTATAAATACATTGGCATTGTGCTGTACAATAAACTTCCAGCAGAAGTAGGTAACAACGCTACCTATCCCCGCATTTAAGGGTACAATTAAACATTACCTCATGCAAAATCCCATATACTCTATAAATGGAATTACGAACAATAGTGATACGTGAAAAATGTTTATGTCATACTAACCTATCATAGCACATTTTACATCTGTGATACGCGGGCATAAAGTACCACTTTATGCTCTAGGGCATTAAGTATCACCATAGTAACTCATTTAAACTTAATGACAAAACAAACAAATATTTGCAGGTCATTGAAAATTAGAAACGTCAATTATTAATTGTCAATACCTACTTAATCACAAGATTGGCCTTATTTCGTATAGTTTCTGGAACGTCTTGCTCATTCACGATGAACTGAATTATTTAAAATTACGTTTGACGTTTGGATGGTTTCATTCACATTAACAAATTCGAACCACACATACTCGATCAAACATAATGAATTATTTTGTAAACGAATTTTGACGAAGAAAACTATTTGTAAAACATAAAATTGTGTATGTACCACCGGCATTAACTGATGTTTATACTCTCGAGCTTTTTAACTCGTCGCCCTCGAGAATATAAACATCACTATTATGCCCTTAATACATAAATAACTATTATATCATTGCATTTTACTATTATTAGGACGAATTGTAAGATTGAAATGCAATAAATCTATCTATCTAGTAATACCCAACTACAAAACCCATGTCAAAAATAATGTTACACACAAGTTGGATCGTACTGCCCCTTACTGCCCATTGAGCGCGGTGTTGCCAACTCTCCCCTCCGGTACATGACAGACATAATCGCTCTTCCGCCTGGCTAGGCCCAAAACACGACTAAAGTATTTTCAAAAAATAGCTCACCACTCTTATTTTTGGAAATACATGTTTTTAAAAATGGCCAAAAATAAGTGTGAATACATTTTTCTGAAATTAAAACCTAGTTTGTGTAGTGGTGGAACCTCGGGTGGAACTAAGCTAATGGAATAGAACTAGGTCAGGACTAGTCTCTACTGTGTAAAATTAATAATTATTGTTGTCTCTATTTTACTTTTATTATATTCTTCTTTTTTTAACGTTTAAATATATAATAATAAAAATGCACTGTTTTTTCAGAATGACAAACCTTTTATTTTATGTAACCGGTATTTTTGTAAGTTAAATTTTGATTTACTTTCTTATTGTTATTTTTTATTAGAGATGTTTTAGCGCATTTTCCAACTCATGTTTGAAGGGGCTATAACCTGGGCTGTAATGACCATTGTCTCCGTTCACTTCGTTTCCAAGATGTCTAGTTTGTTCTTTTTGCATTCGATAGGTTATAATAATAATAATAATAAGTCTTTATTAGATGACGATCTAAAGGGCGAAGTTCACCTAGAGGCAACATCGCCACCAGGTGTTCTTCCACTTAACTCACTTAACATAGCTCTGGCACCTGAGTCAATCTCAACTCTTGACGATTAATTTGCGCATGCGTAAACTGCGAACTATCTTATTTATAGAAAATTATAGAAATATTTTTTTGAAATTTTATTAAGCACAGATGCTTCTAGTAAAGACAAGCGTATCACATACTGTAAAAATCAGATGTGCGCATGCGCAACTGTCTTGTTTATCTAGCAAATGCAAACATATCGCACATTTTAAACATCTGGTATGTGCATGCGCAGACTGCGCACTGCTAAGTTTCTTATTTATATGAATATTTATGCCTTAAACTTATTTTCCTTTGCACACACACATAATCTGTTATATGACCTTTCAGGAGTACTGATCATATTATGTTATCAAAAATCTCTAAACCTTCCCCATATAGTTTTATTCGTTGAAGTTTTTAAAAATAACAGTAGAGTATTTTTATTTAGTTATAATAGGTATACAGTGGTCGCATAATTATCAGTTTTCAGTTTGTCCTGTAATTAGCAAGTTTTCCTGTTTGACATTTTATAAATATTATTATTATTATTCAATATCAAGCATATTTATTAAACAATCAGTAAAAAGTGTGGGATTGCATTTGAAACCAGGTGTCAAATTCTTGACAGAATAGCTTCCTAGCTGAAACCAAAAATTGCCAACATATGTACGCACTTACAGACGAGAAAAATTTATTCTTTAAAAGTTGCTTAAAATAATCTAAAACGTCAACATTTGATGAAATTTCGCATTGTACCTAGCTCATGCTATGAAGAGAAAACCATCAATTCCATAAATAAGAAAGTTGCATTTCTGCACATGCGCAACACGATTTTTGCGCATGCATTTTGTTTGCTTTTATTAGAGGGACCTACCATCCAATTTTCGTTAAAATTGCTCCATAAATAAGAAAGTTGGATGTTGCACATGCGCAACTCGATTTTTTGCGCATGCATTTTGTTTTCTTTTATTAGGAGGACCTACCATCCAAATTTCGTTTTAATTGTTCTATAAATAAGAAAATTGCATTTCTGCGCATGCGCAACACGATTTTTGCGCATGAATTTTGTTTGCTTTTATTAAAGGGACTTACCATAGAAATTTCGTTTAAATTGCTTCAGAAACAAGATCGTTGCGTTTTGCACATATGCAACACAATTTTTTGACTTTGACAATTTTTTTCTCCGTTTTTTGATAATATAACCCGGCCCAATTTTTTGTAGGTTGTATACAGGAAAATAAGGTCTTCCAAATAATAGAATAAAAATTTTAGGTTGCTATTTGAAAAAAAAGTTCGATGCCGTTAACGGCGCTCCAAAATTTCTTTTCAAAAATTCGGCCTGTTATTTTTCTGTTCGGTATGCCTAAAACATATATACAAAATTTCAACAAATCCGTCGAGCCGTTTTCTCAGAAAATTGCCAACAAACGTACGTACATACAGACGGAAAAAAATTTTATTCTTTAAAAGTTGCTTAAAATGGTCTAAAACGTCGACATTTGATGAAATTTTGAAATGTTCAAAAAACGGCTATCGCAATAGCTACCTAGCACATGCTAGGAAGCTAAAAATCAAATCTATGAATAAAATTTTCTAAATTGGGCGTACTTAGTTTGATAATTACTGCGATATTGAATTTTTTCAGATACAGTTTTATAAAAAATATCGATTTGCGGCGAAACCATTCGTTTTAGATAGCAAGTGTGACGCATAAAGTGACACAAAAAATTGCGCACCTACTAAAGTTAACGTATACAGTAAAAATCAGATTTGCGCATTCAGAGACTGCTCAATGCCAACTTTCTTATTTATATAATTTATGTAGATATTTCTACATCAACACACAAATTTTTTCGCCTATATGGGATTATAAAATTTCTGGAATCTTATTCAGAATAGACTATCATCAACGAAATTGCATGTCATAACTGTCTTCGTAAAGACAGTGTATATACAACTTCGTATTCAGAACTGTCAAACAAAATTACAAAGGTATAAGCGCACGTTTCCAGCGCATAAGTCAAGTTTAGAGTGACGTTTCTATCAATAAAAAAATCATTATTTATACACCAATTTCATTGAGAAAAAGTCCAAATGCATTACCTCAATGCCCATACAATGCTTATAATTAATATTCCATGACCAGGTAGGTACTTTTTGACCAACTCAAAACCCTTATTAATAGAATTTCATTTGTTTCATTTCTTTAAGTTTGCTTTTTATTTAATGATTTTGTTTTAATTTCTTTAAAGTATTATTATTAGGTAAATAAAATACTTACTATTAATTTAAGCTGATATACCGATACAATAGGTCTCTAGCTTGAAGTGCTTTCAAGCAAGTATATTTTACATGATATAAAAAATTGACTTAGAGAAAATAGGAAGATGAGCTTGAATTGTAGGTCTTAAGATAATTCTAGACTGCATTGAAATGGAGAAAATTATACTTTATATGTAACATTTTTTTTAAAATTATTTATTATCCCTCTCTTCTGAGCCCTCAACAGCCTTGCGCCCAATTACAGAGTGACCCGCATAATGCTTTTTAGATTTTTAATCGACTGTACTATCTGGGTTCCCCTGAGAACCTTGAAAAGGAACAATGCTCTATAGTGTCAGAGACAACTAGCAATAGGTCAGTAATAATGAACATGTCTCATTTACAGACTAAAAGGTCAATCAATGAAACAAGAAACTGTGACATGTCCAAAAGCATCTAAAGTAAACTACATTACTTGAAAAACAATAGAATACAGACACAAAATTGATATTTTTTTACTGGAAGCAGAACTTTGGGTCATACCTACCATTCAATTAACAGCAAGCGATTGAGACAATCTTCCCCACAGCCAACTTCACCCTTTTCAATTTCTTCATTTGTCAACATGCAATCGCAAACCATCTTTCTAGCTTCTTTACAAGTGACCCTTCCGGTCAGATACTGATTCTCTTTCAGATGTATGAATTGCTTTAATCTACCTTTAATTTCTTCAGCGCTACTTAAAACCTTATCAGCCTCCACCTCCTGTTCGTAATTGAGATTAAGACAATTCCACTACGTACACATACTTACCATTTCTAATTCGCTGGAACGCCGCCAACGTGACTTCACCTTCACAGGTTTAACTTCCGCTTCACTTTCCACAACTGGATTCGGAGGATTAGAGCCATCCGTCGGTATATTATCATCGGCTTGACCGTTTTCGGAAAGGTCTGAATCGGTGCTGCCTTTTCCACCCTTACCTTCGTTTTTGTTTTGCGTCTGTTTTTCGCAAATTGATTTTATTCTACTAGAACGCCTTATTGAATTATCCAAGCTCATCAAAACGTCCATTAACTCCTTATCCGTCTTCTTCGCTCTAGGTTTGCTACTGGCCTCCTTTTTAGGTTTGGACTCGAGTTTCGGTGTTGAAGAGGACTTTTTTCGTGCAGTACTTCTGCTTCTCGATGATTTTGAACTCTTAGAACTTCGACTTTTACTCTTTGGTTTTTTCTCAGACTTCATATTCTCAGAAGTTTCATCCTTGATGCCCGTAGAAGGTGCGAATTCGATAACAACTTCGGATTCGACTTCTTGTTCACTAGCTACAGGTATAATCTCTGCAGGAACACATTCACCGGTGAATGTTTGCGCATTATCATTAAAAATATGATCAGACAACTCTATTTGTGTCGCATCCATCTCACATTTTACACCAACATCTCGATCAACATGCTTGGTGTCTCCTGTTACTACCAAGTTAGACAGTTGCGAAGATATATCTGTCGCTAGGCAATCGGCATCCGCTTTAGCTCGTATCTCAGTTATATGTATGGCCGGATCAGTAAATTGATCATCCATTTTCAGTCCCGATGAATTTATACAACTTACAGAGATTAGTTCTTCAAAATCGATATTTTCTGATTCATTGTGCTCGGGACAGTCTATACTTTGAGCTTCCTCTGGATTTTCTAAAAGAGATCGATATTTACCAAAGTTTTTGAGATTTGGCTTCTTTTCAAAGTTGATAAAATCGGTTTTCTGTGTATCAGTGCTTGTATCTGAACGACTTTTTCTGCTAGATTTTGAACCATTTGTGTTTTTCTTCTTTTTTGGTGCCATCTTCAAACTAATCCTAAAAGAAAACCATAATTCACCACATAAAAACACTGCAAAGAACAGCTGATAACATTTCTTCCGATTATTCACTTTACACAGGTACTACAAATTACTTTGGACTGGGAACAAAGTGTAATGTGGGCTAATACAAGCTGAAGATGGTAGGTCCAGTGTTGTTTACCTGTAGAAGAAATTAGAGGCTAGAGCTACCAGCTTAACCAAACCGTATGATATACTCTTTAGTTTCTCCTAATATTTAGTTGGCTAGTTATGTAATTGTAGTATCTGTTATGTTTAATTGAAAGTTGAAACGTTTCTTCCACTTTGCTCCCCTTAAAATGAAGCAAAGCATCAAACCACCCCCCAAACAACTGCCATCAACAACTTTTCTTATCTTGCTTTGCTTGGGCAAGTTGTATAAATAATATTGTTTTGTATGAAAATTGGCGCGTTCATAATTTTGAAAATATCTACAGGGCGCTCCGTCACGGTGGTTCTTCACTTGGTCTTATTTCTTGGTCTTGGTCTTTCGAATAAAATCAATACCCTCTTGAATAACATAACTGTAGTAACTAACTAACTGCACACAATTTTTATAGGACCGGAGCTATTTTTCTTGTATGAACCGCGCAATTTTAGGGATAAATCTAGTTGTTTTTGTGTCACCAACCTAGTGAAATGGATCGGCGACAATTACGATGTTGATCGAGGGACGCACTGATTATCTTTTTTTAAAAATAAATCTTAGTTATTCTTGTAATTTTTATGTTTCTTCAAGCAATCAAAATTTAATTGTGATTTGAGGTTAGCAACTTTGTTGAGAAATCTGTTTTTCTTCTGTTGGCAGATATGTGGCAATTGAAATATGCAACATTGCATGTAATGCTTTGACCTTGCAATTTCTTTTTGCAAGTTCTTGCGCGTTGTATTGCTTTATGTCAAGCGGGCTTAAAAGAATTGCATGCAATTTTGGTGAAAGCTATAGACCATGCTCTAGTCTAGTTCATGTCATATTTCGATGGAATCGTGGTAATTTCTGAAGCTATTATTTATTTTACTTTGCGTAATCTTATTAGGGTCTAACTTTATCGTGCGGTGCATTAGCATTGTGCGTGTTCCAATCATAGACCTAGCGTATATGGATTCGTTACCATTGCTTGCAATGCTATTATAGTACCGCCATAGATGTATACATAGGAGAACCATTGTTTAAACTTAAACAATGATAGGACGCTTACTGTCTGCATTGTTTCGGATACCAAAGCACCTTGTATATAATTGGCCTTCAAAGTAATCTGTGGTATTCGCTAACCGTCATTTTCATAAGAATGTCAGTGGAGTCTGTGGTAGGCATACCATCCATATATAACCTTAAATTTGTAATCTTGATTGTTTATAAAAAATGGCTTTGTCTCAAATTATTAAGCAGCCTACAATGAAATTATTAGAAGAAAAGTTCTTAGCATTAAGGTAGCTATACGAAAAATACATTCAAATCGATCTAAATCACTGGTTTTAGTATACAATCGTGTTCCGCAATACAAACACGACACAAACAAGTTGCCCCACAGCCGAGATTACGGCATCCAACATGGTTAACGAAGAAAAATCGTGTGGTACTTAATTTTTGAGTTCGTAAACCCCAATACCAAATGAGTACATTTACAGATTCACGATGACTTTCTAACAGCAGACAATGCAGAATTCGTGCAAGAAGTCACAAAAGATAAATATGAGATACCTCCGAAAGTTGAATTACCAAAAAACATTATCGAGTGGACTCCTAAACTGAAGAGGACCGGTGTTATCGCACGTAAAATTGGCGAGCTGCCCTTGTGGCTTAAAACAGGCAAGAAAATCAGCACGACTTTGTTGCAAGTATGTTAATAATCCTCAAAGCTAATTATATCTAATTCAAGACGTAGGTTCTAGATAATCATGTAATCAAGTATTATACGCCCGAAGAATACGATCCACCTCGTAAGCGACCCACTAGAATTAAGAACAAAGCTGGTTGTTTACTATTGGGGGCACAGGCAACAGATCCAACTTACTTGACAAAGGAGTACTGTTCCTTGTTTAAAAATACCGGGCTTATGCCAAAAAAGTATTTGGCAAGATTTTTCATTAGTCCCGATGCAGTTTTGCCAACAGGTACTCCGATCACTGCCCAACATTTCAGTGTGGGAAATTACGTTGACGTCCGTGGGCTAACGTAAGTTGATATGTAAGAGTATTCAACTTCTAATGCCACTATTACTCAGGAAATATCGTGGCTTTCAAGGTGTTATGAAACGTCACGGTTTTAAAGGCATGCCAGCTTCCCATGGGGTTACAAAAACTCACAGGAGAGGCGGTAATATTGGTGGAGGTGGCGAGAAGGGAAGAGTGTGGCCGGGCACAAAAATGCCAGGTCACATGGGAAATCGGTACCGATTTGCCAAAGGATTAAAAGTGTGGAGAATAAATACCAAACATAATGTGCTGTGGGTTTCTGGTATTGCGGTTCCCGGTGCCACTAATTCAATCGTGTACATTTATGATACAAATTTGCCAACGCGTAAACCTTTAAAACCATTGGCATTTCCCACATACTTTGGTCTAGATGATAATGTAGTTGAAGAAGATATATATGATGAAAGTTTACAACGATTTAGTGATCCTACCATTGTTTTCCAAAAGGAATAGTTTCTTGTTTACTACTATATTTTGTTTTAAATATAATCATTAACATACATGCGATTATTATTATTATTATTATTATTCTCAGACGTGGTCTGCTATCAGGTTCATGTAGGCTCATATGGTACTCTTAGGATGTCCAATATCTTTAAAGAAATCTAGAATCCTGGGGAGCAGCATTTCCGGATGCTTTTTCATTTCCTCAAGGAATCAGTGCCTTGACCATAGTGACACAGTATATGCATAGAACTTTCTTCTGCCACCACCTGCAAATTGTATGTACCTTCAAGACCCATATTATGGAGGTGTTTTTACTTGACAGTCACGAGGCGACCTGGCAGAATTCTGGTAGGGGTCCTATAAAAGGCATCTGGCGAGTCGGATGGTAATTTCATTACAGCTTAATGGGCGTATGCTTTTGGGCACCCATATCAGATTCACGTTATTATTTTCCAAAAACTGGCTTAGGTTTCCGATATATTCCATCACCATAGTTTACTTCTTGCGTCCCTAGAGCTTTTGATGCCGCCTGGTAATGTGTTACTATATAGAGATTTTCTTATTTCCAAGGTTACTGTCTTAATAGTTTCTGGGCACAGGCGTTAAATAAATCCGCCTGGAGTATTATGTACCTAGTGTATGTGCAATGGTATGTGTCAAGATTTAATTCGCAAGAAGTTTGCGCTTAAGAAGAGAGGGGTCTCAAAAATTCGCAAAAAAATCGTTTTAAAACGGGTTTCGTTGACGTTAGGGATTTAATTTAGGGTGGAAAGAATGTTAAAACAACCCTCGTTTTGCCACGTGTAATGTTGGTTGCCTATAGCTATCCCATTGGCATATAGATTGACATGATTTTTAGCGCATTTTTGCAAATTTATTTGTAAAAAGTAGCTTTTAATCTCACTTTGGCTGGCTGGCTGGCTGGCAGCAAATGTGGGCGCGTAGGAGAACTCTTGTAGAAAGGCAACGGGTGTACGTGTATCTACGGGGCCGTGAAATTTGTCAACCTTAGGGACATGGCTACATGATGTGGGGTTGGCGACATCTGGGCGTCATCCTCGAGCGTAGTATACTAACGTGAAGGTTTTTCAGTTTTTTCCTATCTTCTACTACAGTTTTGGTCCAATTCTTTTCAAATTGGTGTCGTCGGAAAGATGTTGTAAACGCGTACAACTCCTGCGTGGCGGAATTTTGTTTTTTGTCATAGGGGCGAAATTAACGACCTTTTGCGAGGCGCGCGCGCGCGTCTTCGAGAAGTAGTCAACTTCGGGCGCCTTTTACCTTCCGTTGCGAACTCACGCGGTTTAACGTTTCGTAAATCTCGAATCGCTGTCTCTCTTTCTCGTGCCGCCAATAGAAGTGAATTGCGAGTGAACGGGACGTCGGAAGTGGGTACCGTCAAAGGGAATGTGGTAGCCCGCGACACGATCTTACTGATGGTGTAGTCAAATCTTCAACCGCGACGCCAAAGGGAATGTGGTAGCCCCCGACACGATCTTCCTGATAGTGGAGTCAAATCGTCAATCGCGAATTGCGGCTGAACGGGACGTCGGAAGTGGGTACCGTCAAAGAGAATGTGGTAGTCCGCGACACGATCTTACTGATAGTGGAGTCAATCTTCAAACGCGAATTGCGGGTGAACGGGACGTCGGAAGGGGGTACCGTCAAAGGGAATGTGGTAGC